TTTTCCGATCCAGGCTTGCGATATTACATGGGACGAACCGATTGAAATCCATCAATTTCCATCAAGACAGAGAGACAGGCAGGCAGGCAGGCAGGCAGAGACAGGCAGTCGTGGAATGCATAACACATTCCACACTCCCGCGCCAGCTTGACCCTCAGATCCTCAGACCCTCAGATCCTCAGACCCTCAAGCCCCGACCTTTCAACTCCGACGAAATGCCACCTCCTGGCACATTCGCCCTGCCACCCTCCTCCACACCCCGTCCCGCATCAAAGCTCTTGTTGCTGCTCTTCCCAATCAGCGTGCTCTTAGGAATCGCCGACGTCCGCCGACTCGGCGTCGCGTACGTCCGCTTCATGTCTTTCGTGCGCCTCAGTCTCTGCGCCTTCTGCGCCGCGATGGCCTCCCGTTCCATGCGCCGCAGGTAATCGATCTCGCTCCTGTCTCGGCTAATGCTGGTTGGGAGCTCAAGGTGTAGGGAGCTGAGCTCCTCGTCGACTTCCAGCTCCTCCTCTGGTTCTCCTGCGTCTCCCCCATATCTTCCTCGCTCAGGTGATTTCTTGGTGGTAAAGATCTTGCTGCCGATAGAGGAGATGGACGATGCGAGGCGGGAGAGTAGATGGGGGCGCGGTCTGGAGAGCGAGGTGGACGTGCTGCTGAGAGAAGGCTTGCGGCGCGAAGGAAGCGAGGATTTCCTGGTCAGATTGCTGCTGGAGCAAGTGAGCGCGGGGAAAGAGATCCGGCGGAGAGGCGGGGGAGGCTTTGAGGGTGAGGAGAAGGGGTCGTAGAAGCGGCTTGAGTTGGTGCGTGGGATGACTGGTCGTGGTCTGGGTGCTGCTGCTGGACTTTGTGGGAAATCAGGATCGTAGGGGGGTGAGCTGTGGGTGAAACTCAAAGAACCTGGTGGTCCATGGGTGGGAGCTTTGGATCTGATGGTGGACTGTGGGTTGGACAGTGAGGGTTTGATGCTGCGCTGGAAGAGGATCTGCCTGGAATTTGAAGCTTCGCCCTGGGTTCCCAGGTTGGCCTCCGATCGTGAGTGCATATTGCACCTTTCAGTATAGAAGCTTCAAAATTGTGAGATCAAAAAGCAGAGAGAATTAAATGATCGGACTTCCTAGCTTTTACTTACAGACATAGGCGTCCCACCCCAGGTCAAGAACGTCCATCACATTTCAACTTCTTTCATGAGATGGCCAGAATCAGGATCTTGAAGATTCTCGTCTCATGGACTTGGTGCTCCTTTGTAGATGTGGCCGAGTCCAGACCGTTGGTTTCCACGTGCGTCAAGTACCGTGGTATCGTGCTTTGTCCACCTGGGATACCAACTACTTACTCCGTAGGTGGCGAATGCGTCCACACCAGCGATAGTATCAACGTGTTGTGCAGCCACGTTCCCCACGACTCCTATTGGCGTATTTTACGAGCAGTCATTCGATTTCCACGATCCTGGGTCGGATGCGTCCATCGGGGTCTGAGACTCCACCAGGTGTAATTGTCAGGCCAGCTAATTCTCGAAGCGAGGTCTGTTCTCTTTGTGTCGGCGGTGGGATTAGGGCATTGATCTCCCAAGCTTCGAGCCCTTCGATCGTGTCGCGAGCATGCTGTCGTACTAATCCGTCGACATCGGTCCCTTCGATGTATTTCAAGACTCTGCGGACATCGTCGAGACTTTGACCCACGAATCCGAACCCCAACCTCTTACCCTCTGATCTTGCCGTATCGAGCGCTTTTACGAAATTCATAATGAGCCGGATCGCAGAGCGACGCAAGATGCCTTTCTCCGGCCCCGGCTCCAGCGTTAGAATATAAATACTCAGATCTAGAGCGGCAGAGATTATTAGTGAGCCCATGCCTTCGATATTTGCCTCGATCGCCGAGCCGAGAATCGAGATCGCGGAGGCCCTGATCCGTACATCTTCCTGTCCACGCTTGCTTTCCCAACCTGCAACAATCTGAGAGAGGATCTCATTATCCTCATGGGACTCTCCGAGTACTTCATCGAGTTGAGGAACTTCGCCACCCCAAGCCTCGTCCGCTTCGCTGTTCTGCTTGCGCTTGAGCTTGTTCTTCTTCTCCTGTTGCTGCTCCGCCTGTGGGCGATATCCTCGGCGGCCAGCTACGAATAGGAGGCCTTGGCAGACAGATTTCGAAGTCTTGCTGTTGAACGCGAGAGGATTGCACTGGATAACTTGAAGTAGTGCTTCACCAAGTCTTAGCCGCTGATCCAGTCCACTCTCTTCTTGGGAGTCGACATAGCGTTCGATTAGATCTCCCATCACGGACTTTGGATGTCTATGGGACAGCTGGATGAAAGACTTGATGGCCCGAAGATAGATGTATTCCTCATCATCTTGTAAGAGTGATGAGAACAGGACCAGCAGCGCTGGGATGTCCAATATTGCACTGCCTGCTCGAATCAAAGCCGACAGCAGCTCCAAACCTTGGGCTCGAACAGGTGGCGGCGAGTCTGTTGCAGTCAGATATGACATAGCAAGACTGTAGCTCTTTCTATCTTCAACCTGTCGTTCTGTCGGAGTGGCCATGCTGTTAGGTTCCGCATCGTTGATAGAATCGCGAAACCTCAATAGCATAAGTAGATTCTGCGCAGTCGATGAAACATCTAATGGCTTCCGGCTCACCGAACCTAAACAATCTTCGATTGATGCCAAGCAAGAGTTGATGTTTGGAGTCTCCTTGAAGCTTGGAGACGTGAGAACAATGTTGAGGAGGCTCAAAGCAACTGCAACAATATCCTCATCACCTGACCCACCACCGGTGGTTGCTAGAAAGTCCAACAAGACTTTGTTGACGAGTTCCAGCACCTGACGAGAGTCATCAACCAGATTTTCTGGAAATGAAGTCATCATCTTATGCATAACTTTAGCTTCGATGAGGCTACTCTCAACAGTGTCAACTTTGCGATCGTCTGTCCGTCCAAGACGGGTAATAATAACAGGCTCGCTGGTTCTTGCGCTCTCTGCAAGCCATTTCTTGCATAGATGCATGAAGAGTGACGATATTTCGGGCTTAAAGTCAGGCGTATCCTGCAGCAAGGAGATGAAAGAATCGGTGGCAGTATCGATGCTCACAAGGTCCAGTTGGCTACTGGCTCCGGTTTTCGAGGTTCTTACCTCTTCAATCTGAACACCGCCGTCCTTGCTGGAAGCATAACTCCAATGCGGCTGGCGTGACTCTGATCTGCCCTTAAATGTGATGTTCTCTAGTATCGATAAAAGAAGGTCACGTGTAGATGGTGGACCGTGTGTCTCGGTGGATGTAGGTGATAGCTGTAGTAAGGTCTTTAGAAGTCGCCTGGCTGGTTCACATATTTCCCTCTCGGTTTTTTGGTTACCTTGACTCCGGCATGAAAGGGACCACAAGGGCAGCAGGATTGGTCGCAGAAGCCGCTTCGACAGGGAAGGATGGGGGTGAGAGGTAAGTAATGTGTATAATCTGTGAATGCCCTTCTTGACGTCCCCAGAGAGCACAAGAACTTTCATACCTCCCAAGAATTCTATAGAATCTGGAGAAGTTCTACTATCGGTGTCTCGAATATTGGTAGAAACGGCAGTGGGATCGATATCTCCCAATATTGGATCAACAAAAGCATTCCACCCTGGCGTACCTACTCCGGTCAGTACCAGTCATATGAATATAAGCATGTACATACCAGGTGCCCCAAATTGCTTCCTCCCGAGAACACCAAACCCGATGATGAATGCAGCAGCTCTTTCCATCCCAGGCTCCCCTTCACCATCAAGTAGTGATAGGAGCTGAGGAGCGATGCCACTGAACCAGTCCTCAGGCAACATTCCAGCTGGTGGTGACGATAGAAGCCGAGAGGCAGAGTTCAAAGCTTCGTGCGAAATACTAGCCCCTCTTCCCGTACTTGCCGATGCACTATTGCTAGGGTGGACTTGAAGGACGAACTCGATAGTGTGATGTACCCCTCGAGGCCGCAGAGGCAGGCGTGCAAGAGCTGAGACCAAGGGGGAACGGAGCCATGGCTGGACTCGAGAAGGCTGTATGAGAAGGTTCAAAACTGGTATGAGTGATAGTGTACTTGAACTACAGAATGTTAATAAAATTTCCAAGACCGGTACATGTGAACTCACCTTTCAAGAAGAGCATTGAACTTCTGACGATTTGAATTTCTGGTATCCTCCGTTTCTTGGGGATCGAAAGCTGGCTTCCCAAGTTGCAGAATACTATCAACCAGTGGCGGCTGAGCGTTTTCGCTTTTGCTTTTGCTTTTGCTTTTGCTTGGCTCACCTGCTTCCATTGTTGCTGCTGGGCTTTCCTAGGTCAACAGTCAACAGTCAACAGTCAAGAGGCCTTTGCAAGACGGGTTATGTGGTGCTACTGTCCAGCACCGTGATGTGGGCTGATTAGTCTCCTTAGAGGCATGAGATTTTGAATGCTCTGGAAAATGTGTTCAAAAGACCAGATGGTACTTGGATACGACATGTTGAAGCTGGCGGTCATGAGCTGCGAGCTTGAAATGAATCTCGGGTCACGTTTTGTCGTGAATCTCGGCATTTCTAAGCGCCGATCCGGCCATACATGTCCGTCGCGTCTCCACCTCTTCTCTTCTCTCCTCTTCCCTTCCTCTCCTCTACATCCACATCAACCACTTCCTCTCGAATGTCGATTGCAACGCTCTGCAGCCCCTTCTCCTCATCTTTCTACCGAACCTCTACCGCGCTCGATCCCGGCTAGCAACAGCTTCAAAACCAATTTGCAGCACCAAATACGCGATACACCCCCTTTGATGCCACCAGATACCTCGTCACCACACGCAGCCACGAAGTTTCTCTCGCTCCTCGGAGCACATGCAAACAAAGCACTTCTCCCTCCCGACAGTCCTCTGATTCTACTTTCCGAAAGGAAGGACATGGATCAGAACTTAACCCTAAGTAATTGTTGGCTCTAGTTCTGCGGTCACAGTTGTTCTTCCAGAATATTAGATGCTCGCCGGCTGAGTGACAACTGTGACGCCGAAAGGTGGAGCAGCTCGATCAAGGCTTGGGCATTGAAAGGCTGGAGGGATAGTCCAGATGTCGCGAGACGTAAAACAGATTTCTCCTATGAGCCGTTCTGGTAATACCTCCACGCGGGGGAGCTCGTCATGGTCTTCGGCTGGGCGTTATACTCTGATTATCATGGATCGTCTCTGTCGATGCGGAAATGGATGGTATGGAAAGGAGATACGATTCGGAGGGGTACAGGCTCTTCTTCGAGAAGCGGTCTTTGGGATCTTCGGCAAACTGTTAGAATCGATCGATGCGTTCTCTACACACTCCGACGACAAGGTGGCTCGGACTCGGTGGGATACATGATTGAGCACGATACTTCCTTTGGAGAGTCTACAAACAGATTATCTCCTCTGCGTGTGTTTCCACTTCCTCACGGTCGTGATTGGCGTTGATCTCACTCGTCTGAACCATCTGCTTGCAGGTGCCGCGAGATTTCGACTGCTTTCAAACAGAAATACTTCGCATGAGATGGTCCTTCACGTGCTCCAGCACTGCGAAGTTTTGACATATCGGCCTTGCTCCCGAATTCATGCACTCTCATTTGATTACCCCTTCCACGGCGTCTACAGAGATGGGTTCGCTCGGTTCTGTTCAGTGAAGACGTTCCGTACCTCTTCTTCCTGCAGCTTCGGCAGTCAGGACATCGTTTCCACCCTTTCCAAACCCCAGAAACTCGCGTCCAACGCGCAGTCAGCTCACAAGACCATCGCCGCGGCACCCGCCCCAGGCTTTGTCACGTTGTGTGATCCCAATCAGCCGCATCAACCTTCTCTCACAGGCCCCGTCCTGTGGTGACGGAGGACGCCGACACAACGTCTTACATCTTTGATGCTAGACATCCCTACCTCCCCGTATCATCCTCCTCATAGATGGAAACGACTGAGACGATAGCGGCTTTTGTTGATGTATTTTGTCCGTCTTTGCCCTGCTTGGCTTCTAGGCTACGCAGAGGAAACATAAAACTAATCTCAAAGGGTCCTGCTATCCAAACAGAGAGAAACTTCGTCGGCTACGTCGGGGTAGCTGAGCGTCCTTGGCCTGGTCTACTGCATGTCCGGTCAACTGCTGGTTTCGAGTCCAGCTGAAACGAGATGTCGATTCAATCACTTCGGCGAGGTACGGTCGAGGGATCAGATGAATGGGTGGTGGGGTGCGAAAGACTAGATGTTGTGGTAAGGGTGCCTTGTTTTGCTCATACCGCATCCACAGACTTGGTGCTTTCAGTCCAAGAGGAAAGGATATCGCTCAGCGTCCAGAATGGGACCCATCTCGAGTTGGTGTCAAAGTCTAGTGCTTGTCTGTTCTGGGAAGCGCGGGGTAGTCTGCCTGACTTCTTGGGTGGGAGGTACTTCTTGGGTGGTGCTGTGGTGGGTTGTGTGCATTCTTGGATGCTGGGTGTTACTTTTTGCTGGCCTATCGTTGAATTCTGGACAGGCCTGGTGGTGGGCAGTCCTGGGTTGTCCCTCGTCTGTTGATACAGGCTTGGGGCAGCCCCTCCTTTTTGGGGATAAGTCTACCTCTATTACCCTCGGTTGAAAGAGGTGCTAACATATGCGTAGTTAGTTACTACGACTCGGAGATTGGATGGGAGAAGGGGATGGGGTGTCTTCAAAGGGCTAACGGTGTCATTTACTATGCGGAGTAGAAGTAGACGAGCGGACAGAAGTTTAGCATTAGAAATGATAATTCTCTTGAGTATCAAGTCCCCGCTGTTGCTCGGGTCATACTCGAGAGCTCCCTAACACTCACTCAACTACCTTGTCAAGTTTTCAAACGTTCCAGCTTCAGGGAAGCTACTGCATGCAGTATGACATGCAATCAGCCATGCGATTAAATTTGCGAAGGTTATATTTAGGGTGTACTTTTATATGGAACAAATTCCTATGTAGTTGAATCTTAAGTATCATAACCCTCGAGCTGAACTCGCAAACTTACTTGCTCGTTGTCTTTTTCGAAGCTCATTATTCGATTGTTTACATGCAGCCTTGTTCAGCCTCGTCCCTGCGCTAGTAAGCGATCCACGTCTCCGCTCACTGCCTCTCTCCAAAGCTACCATTACCCAACTTCCGTCTCACACCACACCTAAAAAAAAAATTACATCCTTACTCCGAGACCCAAAACCCCTCAAGCTCCAACAACGAACCGGCTGACTACTCACCTCATCATGAACCCCTACGAAGGTCAGGCAAATTCCCCCTTCCCCCTACCTCAATCCCGCTCCCTACAGAGACCATCACATCACAACCCCTCTAACACCAACCACCCAGTCGAGCACAACATAAAAGCCACGCCGCAAGCACGCAGCCGCCGGCCCGACATGTCAACCTTCTTCTCGCACCTGGCCCAAATCGAAACGCCCAGCGCCCAAACGAACACCCACGCGACGCCCACGCCCGTCGCCATCGCAGCCGCAGAGCGCCTCCTCCAAGAGCAATTCCAGGCCCTGCAGCAGAACCTCGCCGCGGGGTCCAGCACCGGTGCCCCAGACGCGCACGTCGCCGTCCTCGAGGGCCTGATCGCCACCCTGCAGGCGGACATCGAGGCGCCGCCGCGCAAGAGCCCCGGCGTGCCGCAGAGCTACCTCGATGAGCTAGACAGGGTGCCGAAGAAGGCGCTGAGGAGCGGGGACGTGTGCCCGATTTGTAACGAGGAGTTCCTCGACGATGCGTTTCCGCTTGTGGTGCAGCTGCCGTGTCATGCGAGCCATCGGTTTGATCTGGAGTGCGTGGGCCCGTGGTTGAGGTTGCAGGGTACGTGTCCGTTGGATCGGAAGGAGATGCTGAAGAAGAAGGAGGTGGTGAAGGTGGTGGAAGAGGAGCAGGAGGAGGACTATGATGAGATGTTCGCGTGAAAATGGGGGCGAGAGGGGAGGGAGTGTGATATCCTGAGTTTGAATGTGCACTGGGGTCTTTATTGAGCGAGGCGTTGTGCGTTGGGTTTGTTCTCTCTCTCTGGAGTTACAGAGAAGCGCCTATTCGATCGCTCCTCGAGCTTTGAAAGGTTCTTCGGCAGAGCTCCATAATAGCTGGGTCAACTACAGACAGCAGGGCTCACATGAGGCTATTCCGCAGTCTTGACATACGTCGAAGTCTTCGAAATTGAGCCCGGACGAAATCTACGTGGATGAAGCCTAATTCTCCAACCTTGCAGATGATCGCACAAAGGCCACGTAGAGAGCGATATCGTTGAGCTCGTAAATTCATTCAGAATATTCAGACGTATCTATACGCAGAAACTCCGAGGCGCACCTCTTCTCCCAATCTCTCAAAGATAGCCGGAACAAACAAGCGATCAATAAAAAGAGCCCGGTACACACCTGTGAAGTGGAGTCAACCCTCGGATTGTCTATTAGAACGGACGGTATGTAGAGAAAAATGCCGCAAGGGTGCCCCTGCCTCCCATTATCTCCCTCCCAAGGCCTTTCCCAGAAAAAAATCTGCAACCGTGCATCTGTGCTACTGATGATTTCTAACACTGTCTATGCCTTTCCCTCTTGGCTCTGGGTGAACTTGTAAGCCCCATAAGCAAGAGCACCGCCGAGGAGAATGATAGCGTAGAGACCAATGCCCATGCCCGTGGAGTCGCCCGAGGATGCTGGGGAGGGAGTATGTGCTGTAGTCTTGGGGACTGGGTCGCCGGGCTACCAAGGGTAACAATGTTAGCTGGCTGTCTGGATGTCTGGCTGGGCCTGACGGGTCGAAAGAGGCAGCGATTCTTACCATGCGCTTTAAATCTCCTACTAGTAGACCCTCGAGAACCTCGCGTGCCTCGTCACTGTGTCCAACATCCTCGAAAGCCTCGGTTGCGTCTTGCCCTCCCACGTCGAGCAGGACCTCCTCGCCACCTCTGCGATGTAGTCAGCCTACAGTCGTTGTACTCGGTGATCTCGGTGGCCGTGCGCGGATGGCAACAAAACGTGTTTCCAGAACATTCTGTAGTGGAAATGCTACTCACGGGTGCTCATCAATGAAAGGTGTAGTATCGTAGACCTTGTCGTGAATAACCATATATAGATCCTTCTTCGAGTTATGGGCCGCAATCTCGGCATAGGTGAGCTCCTTGGCCTCTGACTCTGACATGATGGGCGTATTTTCCTTGAAGTTGACAATTGTTGAGGTCGGGCAAGAGTTCGCACCAAGTTGCGTAGCAGGAGGACAGATTGGTCGCAGACGGGAGGGGAGAAGATACACCTGTAAGCTTGTAGATGTAGAGGCGGGATTTGATACTACAAAGGAGTGTTGAGAGAAGACAGAGCGAGAGGCAGAGGGGGGCTTTCAAAGCATTAGGTGGGAGAGTGGAACAGTTTACAGCCGTATGCTGAATGGTACAGTACCGGTACAGTAGCACCAGTACCCGAACCCGTATCCTTGAAGGGCCAGAGACCGGATTACGGAATTTCCGCTGGGGCGAGGCGCTAGAGCAAAGCATCACCTCGGTCAGCAAAAACAAAGCCCACCTTCATGATTGGTTGCTTGACTCACCGGATAAGTACTACGTACCTACCGGTAGGTCCTCCGTACAACTCCATGTGGGGAAGCATCCGCACCCAAGAATTACAACGTACTTCGTATTCCGGCTCGTCTGGAGAAGCAGCAATCAGGATCTTGTGCTGTCAAAATGATTCGAAAAGACGTAGCTCTGCTCCAGAGCTTCTGTAATGCAGGATCTTGCGTAGACGTTGACACCTGGTGTGAGGCTCTTGTACGTACGAATCCAGGTGCCAATCTAGAAACCCATTTTCAAATGGTGGCAGAGATAGGTACATACGATGCCTACCTAGCCTTCCAGAAGTGCAAAAGAGCGGATCAAGACGGCAACTGCTGCGGCAACTCTTTGGTATCTGGTCACCTGTAAAATCGTGGTGCCTACGGTTGAGTCCAGCATGCATGAGTATGTCCAATGTGGAGCAGCAATAATCTTCTTAAGTATGAAATGCTACTCGAGCATATCTCGGTTCCATACCTAAGTACCTAGCAGCCAGCACTTCCCTGGCCAAGCATACGTGATACCTCCCACACATATTCAAGCTTCACCGACAAATAGGGCATATAGTATCTCCTGCACACCACATCGTCTTGGCTGGATCATCTTCGCATTTGCTGTCAGGCTAAAACCCGTCGCAAGGTTATCTCTTCGTACTACCTCCCCCAATATCCTGACCCAGACGATACCCGGCGATTTTGTCCCATTCAATCTTCTGTCTGGTGATCGGTAGTTGTCTCCTCAATCCCTTGAATGCTCCCTCGCTTAAGTTGTTGAAGCCTTTGTTGACTTCCTCTTGGTACTTCTTCTCGGCAACAGTGATTTCTCGGACAATCGCGGCGGCAGACGCAGAGGGAATGGATGCCGAGACGGGCTTAGTGGTTAGGAGACGGACATTGCCATCCTCGTAGTAGTGTACATCGATTTTGATAGTTCCGGAGAGGGAGGATGAGGATGGATCGAATATGTAAAGCGAGCGCCACCGACCGTTCCTGCACGATGTTAGCCTCGTTCAGTACAAAACAGTTGGATTTGACGCACCAGAAGTTGTTTGGGCTATATTTGTTTGCAACCACTAGGATCGCAATCTTCGAGTCGGATTCGATGGGGTAGACGCCGTACGAGGCATTTGGGTAATGCTCATTGACATGCGAGCCTAAGGCCTTCGAGAGCGATTTACTATGAAATCTGTCAGCACCTAGACAACTTGGCGGTTTGAACAACATACACAAGATCAGATTGACTGCTCTCCAGGACATGGCTTTGGACAGCGCTTGCTTTCTGTCACCAATCAGTACTCCCGCTACCGTGTCCCGGGACTAGAAGCATGCCTGTGTGCTGTGGTCGAAAGCGAAGCTAGACGAGCTCTCTACATCAAAGTATCTTCCATCTCCAAGAGAGTTATGCGAGCTGACTATGACCTTGGGAACTAATCAGCGCATTTTTGTGTATATTCCAGCAGTCCTTCACCAACGTGTTGACTGCTACCTGGCAGCTTGACTGTCGCGAACTGTTCCTCATTGTATTTCTCGAACGCCGGACCTAGTTGGGATACGATTGAAGGAGTATCGATCGTGAGGGCTTTGATATCTTTTGAATTATATACTTAGCTTCGTACGGACCGCATTTCGAATGGGCTATCTACCTGCAATGACATCTGCCAGCTTGAACGAGGTCAGTAGGAGTGACTTGCGGTAAGGACAATCAGAGGCTTACCTCTCCCGGGGGAGCTCCTTCTACAAACGCGGAAACTGTAGCTAAAGGAGAAGACATCGCAGAAAGATTCGATGAAGAGGATTCCGTAGTCACTTCCAATGAGTCGGTCAAGTCAGGCCGATATTGAAGTCGGTGCTGGGGAGGAGACAAGTTGCACTGATGACCCCGCGAATTGTGGCTGAGGACGGGTGTGGCTGGTTACCGCATGGACAGCAGTTTATTCGGTCTAAGGTATACGTAGAATCACAAATAGTTGTTCGATAGGCCTTTATTTCTAGATGTTTTCCGAATGTTCATATGGGGATCCTGAAGACATGCTTTCTCTCTCTATTTCAGGTTTCATTTCATGCTGACCATGGTATCTCATGAGCGCTTCTAGGATCGTGAGAATCCCTCCTAGCAAACCGCTGGTGACATCCATGAATGTCACACCTTTCATAACTGCTTCTTTTAATACTCGACAGTCCGTTTTATAGTATCGTAAACTCCTAAGATTTTATTAGACTTTAGCACTGGATCATAGTTTCTGCACTTACTTGCAACATCTGGAATGTTAAACCGTTCGAACATCAAAGCCATATGCACACTCCATCCCGCTACTCTCATAACAGGAGCCTCTAGTCTTAAGAAAGTCTCCTTATCCTCTTGTATACTCGCAGCAACCTCAGCTCCAATACCAGCATTCACCATACTCTCATGAACGACCATACACCTACCAGTCTTCCTAACACTCTTCAAAACACACTCCTTGTCCCAAGGATACACGGTTCTCAGATCTATCAGCTCAATGCTAATACCAAGGTCTTTCTCGGCCTTCTCAATGGCAGCGCTACAGGTGTATATCGGGTTTCCATACGATACAATCGTCAAATCGGACCCTTCTTTCAGGATCTCTGCCTTGGAAAGCGGAAGGTAGTAGGATCCAGTCGGGACCTGCTCGACTGCAGCTCGATACAAAGCTTTCGGCTCCATAAACACACATGGATCATTACTGGCGATAGCTGAGAGAAGCAACCCCTTCGCTTGAACAGGAGATCTAGGCATAATCACCCGCAGACCTGGGATGTGTGTAAACAAGCTTTCCGGTGATTGGGAATGGTATCTGCAGATGTTAGTTTCGTACTACGTGTATACACAGTGACCAAACTCACAATGCTCCATGACCAACACCACCGCATGGCATTCTAACCGTCAAACCTCCAGAATGCCGGCCTTCTATGCCATCTCTGTAGCGGAACTTCGCTGCCTCGTTGACCAACTGATCAAATGCCGGGTAGACATAATCCGCAAATTGTATCTCGGCGACTGCCTTCATTCCCTCAGCAGCAGCACCAATTCCAAAGCCCACAATCCCCTGTTCACTCAGCGGTGTGTTGAAGACCCTTTCAGTACCAAAATTCTCTGCGAGGCCCATAGAGCAACGAAACACGCCTCCAAAGGCTACATCCTCGCCGAACAGGATCACGGACTCGTCTGCTGCCAGAGCAAGACTGAGAGCGTCATTTATCGACTGGAACAAGTTCATCCGCTTCGTAGTACCATTTCGAATATCTGGAGGAAGTTCGGGATTCTGGAGAGTCGATTGGGCGCTATGGTTAAGTATGGATGTTGTGGAGAAGTCGGTGGGGATGTTGAGACGGGCCGCTGGCGGGTGGGTGGAGTAGAACCGATGCTGCTGCACCGGAGTTTTGGTTTTGGTTCTGGTTCTGGTTCTGGTTTTGGTTTTCGTCGAGTATGAACAAGGACTTGGAGAAAGCAATCCTTTAGGGATGGGTATCGCCTTGTGAAGTCGCATCTTGGGTTGAGCGTCGCATCTCCAGGAAGGGATCTGGGGCAGTCGTGCTACCTTTATCCGACATCGTAGAGCCGCGAACAGCCGGATGTACCTACGTCACTAATCCCCCTCAAACGCAACTCAAGATCCAATCGATAATCACCCGGTCAACCAGAAAGAAAACACAGTTTCGATGGCATCAATACCGCATACGAGCTGGGCAGTCTGAGAAGTTAAGAACTATTGCTTCAGAAATGAGCGACTCTGCTTGTACCACACGACTGTTTTTTACCTTGAACTGGTCCAAAAAAAGATATGGCACCCCACGGGTCACCAAGAAGACCCCGAGAACGAAGCCACCGTCACGACAAAAAACGAAGTGCACGAAGATCTAAATACGAATCCACCTCCTCGGGAGCGAGCACGCAAGTCCTGTCCGCCAATGCACTAGCGCAACTCGATCATCTCAACCAACAACGTCTGCCGAGGACAAGAAGAGCAGCGGAGGAGGTAACACCCACGAAGCCGAGGAGGAAGCGGCATAGAGAGGTTCGGGATGAGACAGTCGTAGTTGAGAAGAGAAGGCAACGCAAAAGAAGGAAGGGGAGAGTGGTTAGCGGAGCTCTTCTTGAAGAAGGGAATAGCTCAAAATTGAGGGGATTGAGGGGTGGCGCAAGATCTGAGAAAGATGAAGAATATGAGGATAGAGCAGGAGGAAAGAGAAAGAAGTGTATGATATTTTCGGCAGAATCGTGCTACATCTGTGCTAATACATTCCTAGGGATATGGATAGGAGTCGGTCTGATTATCGTAATCATCATCATAATCGTTGTTGCGGTGGTTGTCAGCCAAAACAACAACTCAGGATCTAGCTCTTCAAGCTCAAGTCCGACATCGTCCTCAGGCGACAGCAGGCCTTCGAATTCAAATCTCGATGGCATATCGGAATCGAGTATACCAGCTGCCGCCAAAGGAACGGAGCTTGATCCATTCTCTTGGTACGATACTACCGACTTCAATGTTACATATACAGATGTTACGGTGGGAGGGCTTCCGATCATGGGACTCATGTCGGATTGGGACGACTCAAAAAGTGCGAATTCGAACACGCCTCCAATTTCAACGCCATGGGGTTCATATGCCGATACACCCGCTCGAGGTGTTAATTTAGGAGGCTGGCTCTCCCTAGAACCTTTCATCGCACCATCTATGTTCAACTATCCCGGTGTAGTTGATGAGTATACATTGACGACACATCTGGGGGCAGATGCAAAGGCCACTTTGGAGAAACACTATGCAACGTTCGTGACAGAGCAGACGTTCAAGGATATTGCAGCTGCTGGTCTTGACCACGTCCGGATCCCTTTTTCCTACTGGGCAGTGACAATATACGACGGCGACCCGTATGTCTATCGGGTATCATGGAGATATCTCCTCAGGGCTATCGAGTGGGCTCGTAAGTACGGCCTTCGCATTAACCTTGATCTTCATGGATTTCCCGGAAGCCAGAATGGGTGGAACCACAGTGGGCGTCTGGGTGCAATAGGATGGTTGAACGGTCCCGATGGCGCGTTAAACGCTAACCGCTCGCTCGCTATTCACGATCAGCTTTCTCAATTCTTCGCCCAGGACCGTTACAAGAACATCATTGCCTTCTACGGCTTAGTGAACGAGCCGAAGATGATCTCACTCCCACAATCAGATGTGGTCAGCTGGACCGCGACCGCATTTGATCTGGTGCGGAAGAATGGCATCACTGCCTATGTAGTGTTCGGGGATGGGTTCATGGGTCTCGACAATTGGCAAGGACAACTTACGGAGTACGATGGTCTCGTTCTGGACGTCCACCAATACGTGATTTTCAACCAGAATCAGATCGACTTTAACCGCACAAAGAAAATCGATTACGCCTGCTCGGAATGGAGTTCACAAGCAGAGCAAAGTATGAGCGTAGCGACCGGCTTCGGACCTACCATATTTGCTGAATGGTCCCAAGCCGACACAGACTGCGCGCCATACCTAACTAATGTCGGCTGGGGAAATCGTTGGGAAGGGACGTACGATGCGGGGGACCCGTCGCTGGATGTTCTGACTCCAGACTGCCCGGCTCAGAATGACCAATGCACTTGTAAACAAGCCAACGCCGATCCGAGCACCTATAGCCCTTCGTACAAGAAGTTCTTGCAAATGTTTGCCGAGGCTCAGATGCATAGTTTCGAGAAGGGATGGGGCTGGTTTTACTGGACCTGGCGGACAGAGAGTGCGACACAGTGGAGCTACGAGAAGGGTCTTGCTGCTGGAATTCTGCCCAAGAAGGCCTATGCGCCGGAGTTCAACTGCTCAGCGGCGATACCGAGCTTTTCGGACCTGCCAGAGTACCAGTGATTTTTGAATGTCATGATATGATGTGTTGATGTACAAAGGAACGAGAGCATGTATATGGTAAAACCCTGGCAAGGACATATTGCGGATGGCCTGGTATCTCGAGGCGTCGATGTGGAGTTCAGGATTTGATTAGAGAGAGTGCACACAGCCTTGGAGTTAGCGAAACGTCGATGAACTTGGGTTTTTTACTGTGATAGGAGGCTAAGCGAATGCCGAACTGGAGATATATAATTATGGGCTTATCATTCCCTCAGTCCAATGTAACTTGCCTTTCATTGCAACAATCGCATACTTCACTCTCCTTGTGTTCAAAAAAACATGAAGCTTTTAACTCCATTTCAGCATGCTCCGCCCTGACGAAAAGAAAACCCTCTCTTGCAGCAACCAATACTTCTCTTCTCCGAGCGGCCTACCTGTCTCTGAAGATCTTCCTGAATCCCTGTACGCGTACTTTGTACATGTGAAGCCCTTGGCCTGTACTCGCTCGCCGAGTGAGACCTCTGCCGGATGCAAAACGTAAAAGTACGGGCTACAAACGACAGCACTTGGGCTCCTGGAAATTTACGACCGATACCCTTTCCACCCCCCTGAAACTTTCAGTAGCTCCAGAATCATTGTTTACTCGATCTCGCTTAACACAAGTGGGTTCCGAAGCACAGGGGAAGTTTCAGGGGGCTGCTCTCTACTATGAGCGGGGTTTTATTCTAGCGTTTCCAGATCTGAGTTCCGTCGGCCATATCAGGCGCATCTTATTTATGGCCTTTATGAGCACTGTGACAATTTTTGCTTCTCCTATCAGCGAGGCGGAGGTCGTTGAATTTGCTACCAGATATTTCGAAAACGAAATGGGTTGTCTCTATAACCTAGACATTTCATATATTCACGTCTTTGTCGCCTAACTCCAATAGTCGAGGGATAAAACTTCCCCCCGCAGTCTCTATGGCGGGAGTAATACCCTGCTTTGCGCCATGCAGCTCCCAATGAATCCTACCCTATCGTCGGATTATTCGGATCTGATGTAGCAGTCATCCGACCGGGACTCTACCAAGGCGCATCAGCGCAGCGACCTGCATTACCAAATTTATGACACATTGAGAACTCCGTCCCTTACCAGCTGAAGATTGTCTCGAGATTAAATCGGCCGTTGAGTATCCTCGATCTATAAAAATGGCTATCTCTTTCATCCTTATGGCTCTAGTCGCCTGGGACCTTTTCGTAGTATCTGCAGCGGGTGCACACCTCCCGTCTGGCCCTCTGCTACGCAATATTTACACCTTCCCGCCCAACCACTTCATCGAGAACATCGCCGTGCGCTCTAATAGCCATCTGATTCTGACTTCGATGAGCGCGAGCACGCTCTTCACTCTCGACCCCACTGTGGCTTCACCAAATGTCTCTGTCCTTCACACCTTTCCCGATGGCCATGGACTGATGGGAATTACTGAGTAAGCTCCTACTTGACCCAAAATTTGGGTTCTCCGAGCCGTACTCATCAACAGAGCACGTTGGCCCTGTTTCTGTCGGCAATATGAAAGGTTGACATCCTTCTTCAGGCTCGCACCTGATCTCTTTGTCGTCATCTCAGGTATCTGGGATCTCGCCCTTACTCGAGCAGCGCTGGGCTCTCTCACCGTGTGGACCGTCAACTTATGCTCTTCCACTCCATCTGTCACGAACGTAACCACAATCGCAACCTCAGTTCAGTTAAACGGTCTGGCACCCGTGCCAGGCTCCAACAAACTCGTCCTCGCAGCAGGTAAGCGACGGATCTGGTCCCTATTCGAGACATCGACAATTTTCATTCCCAGAAGCTTTTCCTCGTTACGCATAATTGACAACAACTGACTGACTCCCCATGATCCAGACGCCGACGTAGGTGCCGTATACCGCATCAACATCCAGACAGGCGCCTACTCAATCACCTTCTCGGACCCTCTCTTCGAGCCCATCAATCGAACGCTTCCAGGCCAGCACCTGGGAATCAACGGAATCCGCACCAGAGGTTCACATCTCTACTTCGCGTCGTCGGCCAGACAGCATTTCGGCCGCGTCGCCATCAATGCCCTCGGAGATAGGATTGGTCCCGCCACCATCATTTCCAACAACACCGTCACCGGCGGCGGATTCGGCTCTCAATACGATGATTTCGGTCTCGACGCGGCTAGAAACGCCTGGGTTGCGACGCACCCGAACCATGTTGTCAGGGTTACTCCCGATGGCGAGCAGACGGTCGTTGAGGATACGCAGTTGCTGCTGAATCCGACTAGTGCGCAGTTTGGCAGAGGGAGTGCGAAGGAGAGGAGGACGCTTTACGTTACGAACGGGGGCTGGTTTACTGAAGACTTGACGCTGATCAATGAAGGGGTTGTTTCATTGGATACCGCACAGGTTGCGCGGGTTTGAGACGCTCGTCGTGGTCATTACTCACATTGGCCTGGACGAAAGATCAGATCTGCTGCCATGCAGGGAGTATATATTGAGCGTGAAAATTGCTCTCGTGCGCCAAACTTGAATATTACAACTTCAATGATGATGAAGTCGTGCACGGATGTCGTCGAATTACCAGGAGGCTTATGGCTCATCTGGACGCTGCTCGCCGTATTGATGCTAATGAAACTGAGCAGCGAGGTAGTGAAAGGAAGCTGGGCCGAGACGAAGATTGCCATAAAGTAAACATGGGCAGTGCTGCTTTCTTTCAGTTCGGGCAAGCCTGGAGCAATCAATTGCTGATGTCGGAAAACATTTTAAACCCAGAAACTGTGTCCCGCCGGCGAGTATCATTTAAAAGCCTACAGATCTTAGTCAAGCAGGCTTTCCTTATCCTCACTAACCCCTTCTCGATATCTTGAACCCCATGCCAATCGCATAAACGAGATGAGTTCCGCGCGAGTATCCGTAGATATTAACGAGCTGCAGGCTCTACAAGATATTTTATCTTATGTATATAGAAACTATCTGCGCGTCTATATACCCTTCGGGAGGTAACAGGATTCGCCTTAAGCGACCCGTGGACGTTAAACGAATACTACTACTACTACTACTACTACAAGACAGTTTGTATCGACAGAAGAATTCATAGAGCCAAAAATATGCACAAAGGAGCAAAAACAAGGTCAGCGAGCGCAGAGTATAACTCAAGCAAAATCCCCTCTCCCCCTACCCCCAGTGATGTCCAACAACTTTGCCACAAGCGAAGTCCAGCTCTCCAAATCAACAAACCAGTTCCACATTTCCACGTGCCATCTCCCTCCCCTGTCATCCGCCTCGGGCCGAAAAAATCGCGAATAGAGACTATCTACCCAGGGCATCTATAACCTCACGCGCAAGCTCGAGTTTCCCCAATTCCCCCCCTCCAGCTACCCCAAACCCACTCCTCCTACCCATCTCACGATGGCGAAGAAAGGTATATATACCCATCTATCCATCCATTCACCCTCAATCCTCAATCCTCAATCCCCAACCCCCAATCCCCCAACCAACCCCCCTCACACACACACCTCATCCTCCCTCCCTCCCCTCTTTCCTCCTCCAAGCAAATACAATAAAAACCCCCAAAAAAATAAAACCAAAAACTAACCCCATCCTCTCAACGCCCCCTAGCCAAATCCCGCACCATCGCCGTGCGCCTCGTCTCCATGGCCCTGACCGGGTACTACAAGACCCTCGTCCGGCCGCGCACCCACCGGCCGCTGAGCATGCTCAAGTATGATCCTGTCGGTACGTTACGTTTGAAACTGACTACACTACGGGTTTCTCTTCATGTGGGGAGGGGGTAGAGAGGGGGGGGGAGGGGGAGAGGAGGGGGGGGGGGGGTATGGCACAGGCTTTTGTTGAAGGTTCGGATTCGGATAGCTGTTTATGGTGAATTGGGAGTGGGTGTGAGAGGGAAAGAGAGGCATGAGGCAGGCTATGGACGTGGACATGGGAATGGGATATTCTGCTGCTGAGATTGCTGAGGGGGGGGGGTGGCGGCATACACTGTGCCTGTGTGGTGGAACGCAGGACTGGTGATGAAAAAAGTACATTGGCTGACGATATTTTTTTGTGTAGTTCGAAAGAAGGTCCTCTTCCTGGAACAAAAGCGTGGTGGGCGGTAGTGATGCAGAGCTTCGACATGCGAAAAAGACTATTACTACGTGGCAAAATTGTCGAATGTGATGAGTGGTGCATCATTGGTCGGGTCGGGATCCGAAGCCGAAGCCGAAGCCAGACTTTGTATTATACTCGGGAGTTGTATTATGAGAAGTCATTGCAGGCGTTTCGGGAGATGCATCACTTGGACTGGAAGTCTGGGATGTACAATTATGATTCAGCAAATCTCTATAAATCTAGCGAGTACAATCACAGCAATTGGTGAGCAATATGTACAAGCGACCAGTACAACATAACTTCCGTCCAGGCACACGCGGCCACCCACCATGAGCGATCCACATGCTCTGCTACTTCCCTCGCACATCAGGCTAGTATCCATCATGGGTGTCACGCCCATCCCACATCTTTCATGCCTCCTCGTTGTCCTACATTTTCGGCCGCGAAAGCAACGGTGCAGACATAACTGCCCACTACCTCAGGCGGATCCGACCAAAGATAAAACTCCACAAGCATATGCTTCAGCTCGATGGAAAGACAATGACTTGGGGCAGTGTATAGTATAATAACGGAAATTTTTCTTTCATCTTTGGAGTGGTTGGCTAGGCTTATTGGGAATCTGGGATGACGGATCTCGAGGGCTTGCGGTTAACAGTGCTTAAACGGCGCTTTCTTGCCGGGCCAGTTGCGTCATCTGAAGCATTTCTCTTGTTGTTGAAATTGAGGCGGAGCCCCATGAGTGGGATAGGTGATCGGTCGGCGGGTGGTAGCTCTGGCGCGCCGTTCTGTTGTCGGTGGTTTGATGTAGCATTTGATCCAACCCGACTACCACTGATAGCACCCTGGAAGTGCTCTGGACGACGCTCCTGGCGCGGAAGCATGTTGCTTGAGTCTGTCCCTCTCATCTCTGCCTGGGCCTTGATCGAAGACTCGGTGAAGGAGATGCGATTCTGCCCAGATACCTGTGTGGCTAGCCTTTTCATGGCGGACTTCAAGGGCTTTGCGGACGCTGGATTAGGCTCCTTTGTTGCGCCGACAGTACGCTTGATAAGGGTCACCTGCGATTGATCCCCAGAGGCATTGGTCACAACATCCGGTCCGTCGTCGGAGCCAAATCGGTGCTCCAACAAGTCAGGTTCAGTAAGAGGACTTGTGTCTATGGACGATGATGCGATATCTGAGAAGCGCTTGACTGGTGTATCGGCACTCTGTGAAGCTCGCAGTCGAGATGGGTGCTGAGAAGTAGACCCGGAGCCGTTTAGTTCCTGATTTCTTCTTTCTCGAAACTGTGGCGTGGTAAGGTTGGTTCTTGTAGCGGAAGCGGAAGAGCTGTAAGCCACGGCGGCGTAACTGGCTCTCAGCTCGGCCTTTCTTACTTGCTGACGAAGTGTCTCCTCAGGCGTAGCTATAGCAGCAGTGGAATTAATTCCAGGGGGTCGAGAAGGTTTCAGACCTTTCATATGCATGTTCGCAGGCGAGCTCTGTACATGAGTCACTTGTGACCGATATATGCCAAGGCTGGCGTCAGTATCTTGCTGAGTTTGTCGAGCTAAGGCTTCAGACAAGCTCTCGACCTTGTTCTGTAGATCGAAATTTTGCTCTTTGAGCGAGTCCTTCTCGATTTCCAGTAAAGCGACGGCTCGAAGTTTTGCCTCGACTTCTCTATGTTCTCTGGCAGCAGCCTCGATGGTTCGGTCAGTTTCGCCAACAGCAGTTTGGAACATTTTCTGAATCTCGCTTGACTCCTTTCTGATGAATTGGAGGTCTTTGGAAATATTTGTAGAGATCTTCTTGTTACTCTCGCTCAGCTGTCTCATTTGTGCCAAAGTTTGCATCGATCTCTCCGTGAGCTGAGCGATATCTTTTTGAGCATTAGCCGAAGCACTGACAGAAGCATCATACTCAGCTTGAAGTCGTTGCAGCTTCTCCTTGGTAGTGGTGAGCTCCGACTCCTTCTCTCTGCATCTTTGCTCAAAATTTTTGACCTCGGACTCAAGCTTCAATTTCAGTGTTGCCTTTTGTACCTCTGCTTTTTTCGTCAACTCTTGGCAAGTGGCTTTGTTTTCCTGCTCTTTAGTAGCGATGTACTTGTCCCGCTCTTCATCAAAGTTGTTGATTCTCTTCTGGGCATCGTTGAATCGCTGCTCTAGAGCCTTGAATTGCTGCTCCTTGAGCTGAAAGCTCTGGCGTATGGAATTAGCCTCCTCTTTGGCCTCAGATGCTTCCTGATTGGCACTCATGAGCTGGTCCTCGATCTTATTCTTGGCGCTTTCGAGCTCTTGGATTTTCGCCTTCAATCGAGGATCCTCCTTGGGCACAGCACGAGCAGCAGAAAGTTCTTCATTGTAGGTGCTCAGCTGATTGCGGTACTCTGCAGCTTCCCGCTTGAGTTCCTCGAGCTGCTGTGTGATACTCAGGATCTCTTGATCACGCGCGGATTTTTCAGCAGATAGGGTATCCTTGGAATTTTCTAGGCTTGCGATACGATTTGTGTAGGAAATTTCGGTGTCTTTATCGAGCCGAATCTGCCGTAGGCTCTCTTTGAGCTCTTCCAGAGCCTTGAAATTAGCTTCCAGGAAAGACGAATGCCCAGCCTCCGAGTTTTCTTCTCTGCTCTCAAGTCTATCAGATCATTAGAACAAGGTTTCACAGCAACCAAAGGCTGTAAACTTCACCTAGAGAAGAGATCTTGAATGAGCTTGATCAGCGACGCTGGTGGTTCTGGCTCGAGGGAGTTCAGAGCATTGATAAGCGATGTAACCTCATTAATCCTGGTCTTATCAGTCTAAAAGCTACCAAATGCATTGAGAATTTACTCACTTGGCGTGTGTTGCATTCTCTGCACCAAGTATTTTTGCTAAGATTGCCCCTTCCTGCTGAAGCTGTTCGGACACCACGCCAGGAAGCTGCTTCATTTGTTCAACCAGTCGTTCGGAGACGGCATTCTGACTATCAAGTTGTCTCTGAAGTTGCTCTTTTTCATGTCTTTCACGAGAGAGATCTTGGAGTTGTCGATCAATAACCTTCTGGAGCTGGGTATTTACTGTTCGATGATCTTCAAGTTGTCGATCAGTATCCTTCTGGAGCTGGGTATTCACTGTTCGATGTTAGCTCATAAGCAGGTTCGCGTATGCCATTGAAACTTGCCCGCCTCGATATCTCTTTTGGAACTCTCCATCTCTGCCTTTTCTTTCACAAGCTTCTGGTTCTCGATGGATGCTTGTTGTCGTTAGTATATGGACGGGAAGCGGGGCCTATTTACATGCCAGCTGAGAGCTTTGCCTCAAGAGTCTGAACGGCTGCACCAATCTTCTTGGCTTCTTGGATAGCAGCCTTCATCCGGTCCAAATTTGCCTCCTTCTTGCTTTGAGCAGCAATGTACCCTGTCAGTGCATCTCTGATCTCAGATGATTCTTTAAGAATCTCATTTGCTTCTTTCTTTAGAAAATTCTGAGATTTCACAACATCGTTAATGTGATTCTTGTACTTCGAACTTTTACCGGCAAACTTTTGTATCTTCTGTGTGAGATCTGCTTTCTGGGCTTCCAATGCCTCAATCTGTTTTCTCGATGAGTCTTGTGCCTGCTGAAGATTCGTTATATCGAGTTGCTGAGATTCTATAAGCGCCTTCTGTTCATCATAGCCTCTAATGACCTCCTCAAATCCTACACCTTGTTTGAGGAAGTTTTGGTAACCGGTCAATATAGTGCCATTCTTTGGTGCTAGAGAATTTGGGCGGACTGCACCACTACCCTGGGCTTGACGATTGACCGCCTTCGTGACCTTCATGACTCTAGATGCATTATGGGGATTCATACCCACTTCAAAGTAACCCTGAGAAGTAGTCTCGCCGAGACACGCACGTCTGTTTATAGCTCTCCCTTGGTTGCTTTGCGGCGACTGTCCTCTCGCCTCAAGATATTCTCGAGAAGGAGCTCTATGGAGTCCAGAAGCTTCCGAAAGAACAGTGTCGCTTTCAGGAACACGGCTTTGGGCCCGAGGCTGTGTTGTAGTAGCTGACCCAGATCGTACCGGAGACTGTTGATCAATGGCAGCAGCGGGCAAGGGCTCGTGTTCGATGTGATGACCATCGTTCAGTTTTGCTTCGTCTGCTCCTGCAAGTGCGTTCTCCGAATCATCTGCAATATTTCGAGGGTCACCATTAGGAGAGGTGGCAGGAATATGACACTGATCACTGGTCTTATTGAAATTTTGTTGCGGGGGAAGCTGTTGAAGCTGGTTGATGAAGCCTGCTTCGGAACCTTCAGCATGCGTAGAGACACGATGGGTCCATAGTTCCGGGCTACCATTAATTTGTAATGTCTGTGCAAAGTCTTGCGCGATCCCTTGAGCTGCCGCCGTCTGCGCTTGCGCATCAATTTGCTGTGGCCCATCGTGCTTGGAAGACGTGTCAGCAACAGGGCCATCTTTGAGAGAGTTGTTCAAGTGCCCTGAGTTAGGCACAATAGTCTCTTGTGCAGACGAATGGAGACGCTGTTGCTCTGATGGGTGGCAATGGTTGCTCTGAGGGGTTGCAGCCTCAGGAAAAGGGACTCTTCGCTGAAGATTCCTAAGAGTTCATTAGTTCCAAGGTGGGTTTACGAATAAGCGGAATAATGTGCTTACTTGCTATGAGCTCTTGAAATAATTCTCGGATTTTTTCTCCCTCGTAGAGGCGTCAATGGCTCTCGCTCTGGCAGTGGGAACACGACTGGTTCCCACGGGGCTTTCTGTGTGAAGATAGGTGTATTTTGAGCCATATTACGGGAAATTATGATCACTGGGGGGAGTCCAATGCTGTTATCACTTTTTGGTGGCTGCCCTTGGCCTGGAACTGCACTTTTGAAGCCCGGCTCGGATGAGGGGGTACTGCTGATGCGAACAGGATTATCTTGTTGAGAAACAGGCAGTGGCATATTCTCACTTCGAATTGTGTTCAAACTATGGCGCCCTGTTTTTGGTGGGAAACCGGCTGCGGGTGGGGTTTGCTGCAGGTTGATGGGTAGTCGAGTAGCTGTTGAAATATCATGACTGACTGCTGCATTTTCTTGGGGATCTGAAACATCCGATGAGGTGCGATCAGCTACTCGAAAATTTGAAAGAACTCTTCGACTCGGTCCAATCAGCTGTCTGCTTGAAGTAGAGCGCGAAACTGCTGGCGGAGCATCTTCTACGAGGCACTTATTGCTTGAGATCTGTAATGGGGTGTGCTCCGAGGTTTTTGGACCAGGAATCACAATCTCTTGAGGTGAAGGCCGACTCTTGTTTCCATCCTCCTTCGATGCAGATTGGTGGTTTTTGGCAGCAGCTTGGGGTAGTGCATGCACTGTTGGGCCTATGAGTTTCTATCAACCATGAAGATCAAAAGCAAAAGGGACAACTCACGGTCGACGATTGAGCCTGGGGTGGTGGCCGAAGCCGAATCTGTATGCAGTCCAGTATCGGAGCTCTGAGGCTGGACTCGAACAACAGGATTCTTGTTGGAAATAACAAATTTGTTCTTGGACGCCACCGACATCTTGAAGTCGGCTGCAATGTCCTGAGGATCGACTGCGATTGGACGCTGGATTTGAAATAACGGTGTAGAAGGGCTGTTCCCGATAGCTGGAAGATTGGAGGGCCGGATGTCTAAGACGGCTCCTTTGCTCTGTTTTTCTTCCTGTGTATTGAAGTCAAAGAAGCCGTCCATCACTCGATTCTCGGCTTCACGGGCATCATGTTCGACAGCTACATTGGTGGGCTGGGTAATAGCTTGGGTGTCTGCCTCAAGGACGGCGAGTTGAGTTTCTCCAACCCGGGATAGCATGCTCTCGTGATTGGATTGGTGGGCAGCTTCAGCGTTTACCTGAGTGTCGGCCTGAGTGTCAACCTCTAGGGTAACGTTCTGGGTCTCTTCAATTCGGGAGCGAAGACTGTCTTGCTCGGGGCTAGCAACCCATCTCACATTGTCATGGCTGAGTGGTTGACCAGGTCCCTCGCTTCCGCAGTCTTCGTGGCTACCGGGTTGGTGAACGTCAAGGCCATCGAAGTGATCTGGGTCTACAATCTGACTTTCCTGGTCATCTTGATTAAGATTGGGACGAAACATCGTAGCAATCTACACAGCCATTAGCCTCCTTGGTAGCCAACGCAAGGTGTGGGTAGGGACGGACAGGCACCGTAAGGAAGGTAACACAAGGTATAGGTTCACTGGATATTAGATAAGACGGCGTTACAATTGCAGCATGAGTAGTACAGAGATATCGTGAAATCTTTCGTGGCGCAAGTTCGAGCTTGGTTGACCGTAAGGTTGGCAAGAGACGTTGGAGCAACGACAGCGCGCCTACCACAACGAGATGGCTTCAGTGTAGATACCAGGAAGGTGAACAGCCTCCAACGAGGCGTTGGCGACGCAGAGGAACTCCCACGGGAGCACAGAAGATGATCTAGAGATAGTCTAGGAGCATTAATGGCGAAAGTGACGAGAAGTGAAAGAAGTTGGGTAGAGGAGAGGAGAAGCAGAAACACTTCATTCAACCAGGCTCGCTCGTCAGAGTGCCAAGACCCACACTAGCCCTTATGTAAGCCATCTCTGATGTCAGCGATCACAGAAGATGGGCTGCCCAAATTGCAAGAGGTAAGAGGTTCTATCTTGAGTGACTGACTGCGTGCTGAAAGGTAAGGATGCGAGAGGGGGGAGGGACACGTGACTTGGTCTTTCTTGAAGGCCTTTCTGGATCTCGTTTGAAGAAGAGAGATCTGCCGATTGATGACTGAGAAATGAAAAGGAAAGTCTTGAGACGTTTTCGAGCCAAAAGAATGCAAAATTGACAGGAAACGATGATGATAGATTGGACTTGATTTCTAAACATCCACAGCTCACGCAGATAGATAGAAACGATTCTAATCCAAAGAGAGCCAGATGCAATCTGCCTCACTATCCACTGGTCGTGGGGCAACTTCGATATGTCTATGGTGGCCCATCATAAATAGTCATGAGATATCTCCACTGGCGTGCTGGCTACTCACTCAGAGCCTCCAAGTGCTGCAAGACAAGTTAGCTGAATGATAATAAGCCTCAGAGATAGCGACAAGCAGCGAAACATATTTACATATTTGTATGTAATTCGTTCGTGGGCATGGAAGTCTTGACTTGACCTGCTTAAGCAGGAAAAGCCTCGGTCTGGTATGGGTGAGTGGCATAAATATACCGTAGATAGCTCCAGGGCAACGTTACAGTAAAAGCGCGTACCGGAGCAGATACAAATAGCACGCTTGCTACACGCGAGGTGAGACTACTCAGGAGTCGCGGTCGTCAATTGAAGACCATTCGCTATCCGCTCACCACTTACCACACACACTCGCATCCCCAAATAGAATAGGAACAGCATCTCCACAACCTCGCTGCCACATGGCCCATACCGGCTGCATAGCTGCCGCCCGCAGTTGCAGGCCCTGACGACGTGAGGTTGAAGTTGGAAAGAAAAGAAAAGAAACCCTCTTTCGCTAAACCTGCCCGCCCCCTGCAGCATAGCAGCACAGCAGCAAGCAAGCCTCTCTCCCTCTCTCTCTTTAATTGGCCCCTAAAGACATCCCCCAAGACAAATCCCCAGGAATAGCCCAAAATAACCGCCCGGCCATCAACGCCCGCATCCCTTCGATACCAATCACCACCCCGAAGCTATGCAACCTGTGCAACCCCAAGCAGAAGCCAGACCATGCTTGATGCCCATCCATATCACTCACACCTTTACCCGTCCTCTTGTTTCGGATAATCTTTCCTGCGTTCTCGAGGGAAAGATTCGGTGTTTTTTATTTTTTTCAAAAGGCCCAATAACAGGCCAGGATGCACGCGCTTCCAACTATTAAGACCTGGGTCATTCCCCCATACCATCATCACATTTCCCCTTCCACTATCGCCGCAGCGTCTCCTCACTTTCTCGTCACAGTCGCATCCGGATCCGGCGGCAGAAGTATCTAGGAGCAATCTTCGTGTGATATATACTACCTGGCCAGCGTGTGCGGCACGATGAAGCCGATTCTCTCTTTGGGTCTATTGCTGCTGCATTGTCTCTTCTCTACTGCTAGAGCGCAGGATAATTATATACCTTCGCCTTCCCCTACAATTTCTGTCTCCATGACACCGGAGATGTCTGCAGCGTCGGTCTCCTCTGTCTTCAATGCTCTGAAGACGTCTACGCCTCAGCAACCTGGTAATGGTAGATCTAGTCCCCGTCCTATTCCGGGAAAAGTGAAAGCTGAACTTTCGACAGGGCCAGTGGCAGGAGACGCTGGGTCATCAGCTTCAACCACCGATTCAAATGCAGGGGCCAGTGGTTCAGATGGTGGGTCTGTTAGCATTTCAAGAGGTGGAATCATTGCAATCATCGCTATAGCTGTATCTGTCTGCATCATTGGAGGTGAGATTCCCAACACCCCACTCCGCTAGAGACAAGGGGTTGTTGACAACTAGCAGCGGTATCAGCAGTGCTTTTCTACCTCGCCAAAAAACGAGACTGGCAGGTCCGAAAAAGCATTCGCAGATCAGCACGAAAGGTCGCTACCGCTTTGACACCGCGAAGGACGACATTCCCAAAAGATGTGCACAGCAGGAAGGGTTTGACAAAGATAGACGAGGTGCCGAGCCCGCCAGGATCGAAGCCTGCAGATGTCGAAAAGGCGAATCCTAAGCTGATGGCGTTTGAGATGTCGGATCCACCACCATCGAAAGGTTCGAAGTGGGCGAAGAAGTTTAGAAGATGAAAGCTGGACAGTCATCGATTATGCTTTTATGATACTGGTCGGGGTAAATCTGGCGTTGCCTATGGTGGCCTGGGTATCAAATTTTGAGCCATTGAGAACTCAGGATCGGGGTCTGGAAATGGAAATGAAGAATGATCATAACCTCCTGAAGACATTGCCACTGGCAGACCTCCTCCCTTTATCGCGTCTCTCATTGCGTGCTGGTGCCGCTTCCTCCTTCAATCTCTTTCCGGCGGGCGCAAATGTGATGGAACGCTCACCAACAACATCACCCTTATTCTTACTAATGCGACCGGTGCCTTGTGTCCGAGAGCCAAGAGCTTTGTCACGCCGCTGGTGCCCAGACTTCTTGTACGAAGACGAGGATATACGCATCTCGGGCTTGGGTTTCGTGGTGATGTGATCTTCCTCCTCACTGTCTCTGTTACTGCCATCGCTACTAGCAGGCGCGGGTGCCGCTGCGCCAACCTTTGTACTAGGGTTGAGTGCCTGGAATTCTCTGCTCCTTTCATCGACAGCAAACTCATCGTCCTCGAATAATTTCCCGAAACGACTATCTCCGAGAACGCCCATACTCTCGTCAACCGTCTCTCTGCGTGCTTGCTTCTTGAGCAGCTTATCGACCAAATTCTGATTGACCTTGACCTTCTTACTTCCTCTGATTCTGGTAGCTCTCTCTTTCTCGACTTTCTCCTTGATTCTTTTGTTTCTCTCATCCTCCAAGATGTATGGATTGGCAATAAGTCGAGCCTCCTCGTAGAGTCGAGACTGAATGAAGTATCCATGCATGTATGGGCGTAACAAGTTTGTCGTTCCAACAAGATGGCCTAGGTTGATTGCCTTCAGTTCAGGAAGAGTCAAGAATTTGTAGTTATCGTAGGTCTCAGCCGGGGCTTCTTCTGCCATCTCCTCGACCATGTTGTCCAAGAAGCTACACCACTTCGGAGCTGGCCCAAGTTGGGGAATGAAGAATGCGTGTTGCTGTTTGCCTTCATTGGCCGTCAGGATCATACCGCTATCTTTGCACCATGCAACTGAGTTTATGTCGACTGCTGGCTCAACCGAAGTCCACGCCTTTCCATCAGCCTCGTCCCACAGCTTGATAATCCGCTTGTCGGCCGAAAGGATCTTCTTCTCTCGGGACGATGTTGTCATGTGCATGAGGGTTTTGATCGCGTATCCGTATCCTTGGTCCTTCCGTAGCAGTGGTACTGGCTTCCGGAGGTCGAAAAGTTGGACCACACCTTCTGAGTTTCCTGTCGCCAGAGACTCACCAGTCCGACTGAAGTCAAGAGCGGTGACCGCTCCTCCTTGCCCAGCCAGAATTCCAACCTTCCCCTTAGATCTAGGGTCCCAAAATTCCACCGTGCCGATCGAGGTCCCGAAGGCGAGCAGATTATGGCTATCCTCTGCAATCGCAGCAGCATTGACACTCCCTACATGGATTCCTCCTTGCAATGCTCCACCTCCAGAGGTGGTCATGTCGTCACCGCCTACATCCACCTGGTAAGGTTTCATGTATCTTCCAACCTCAAGATTTAGACGGTATACCTCTCCACTACCCTCAGCGTTCACACCAACCGCAGGTACCAAGGCCTCCGCCGAATGTCTGTCGTATATGAGGTCGCGCCCATATCTTGGAAGTCGGGTCTGATAGTGGCAGCCGCCAGGAGTGTGAAATTCGAGCCTTCTGTCAATCTGCAGATGCAAGGACTTCGAATAATCGGAGGACAAGAGGATGAAGGAATGATTTAAAGTCGTTGTATGGCGAGAAAATTGAAGCGCAAGATTTGGTAGATAGTGAGCATGGATCTGCGGCTTATATGTCCCCGTACTCATCACCCATTCTCCATCTTCGCTCACTCTTACACACGCGCTGGATTCCTCGAATTCAAAATCCTGGAGAAGGTCGACTCGGTTAGCGTACTCCGGATCATTTTTCAAGCTGCGCTTCCTCTGGCGAGCCAGCCAGTCAGGTAGAGGTCTCGCAGTAGATGCACCAGATATGGTGTATACCTGCACGTCGTTGGAGTTGGTGAGCTTCATCGTGGCAGAGGTGGTGTATTTTGCATGTCGCAGTTGCGAGTGCTTGAAAAATATTTTGGTAGTTCGGCGCGGAGCGGCCGCACTTTAGCTCAGCCGTCCCGAACTCCGTACAGCCTCATCAGTCCGATGTTTCGCTATCGCGAGCAACAACAACGTCGACGGCGTTGCAAAGTCACAATCGCCACAACGAGTTTCATCGACTCTCCGCCTTCTCCGATCCGATTTCTCTCCCACGGCTTGTCAGCTGCAGGGAATGCTCTGGCTTTAGTACTAAGTCCCAAGTCTGTCGGTTGAGATGGAGCCCTGCAAATCCTACGTCAGACCCGAATTCGAGATCCACCTAGTCAGATCCTATACAGACTGTTCGCCAAATTCTGAGAGTCCGAGGTGACCTATGCCAGCCCCAAAAATATTGGCGCGCAAACAATTGTGGCGTATGGACGTGGACGCGGTGGCTACAGATATTACTCATGGTTGAAGATTACAATGGAGCTCAGCGAATGCCCCACGAACGTAATAGCCTGTGTAATTATCCATCCATAATTGCCGATATAAAAATGTTTGCTGATCGTCACGTAGAGCAACTTCGCTTCTGTTCAGTACGAATATTTCGAGTCGCAAACAGGTTCTCCGGGGGTCACCAAGCAACATCTTCAGAGAATCGAAAGAGGATGGAGGCACGAGGGAAAACTTGTGCATTATGATTCTAGCAGGGAAGGCATCTGGATGTTCCAGACAGGCGGAGATACCGGACCCCTGATCAAGCATTCCGATCAATGCGATGTTGACATACAAGGGCTTGGGATTTTTCAAAAAGACAAAGGAACATACGAACCCGCCAGTCTTGCCAGGAGCAGCAAACAAGCCTCAAATGCTATAACCACACCCAATACGAGCTCTTCGCCATCTTCGTCTTCGCTGGAAAATGCACTTCGAAATGTGCAAGCTCTTAATGCGAGGTCTGTCCAGACAAATTCCAACCTTGGCCTGACCCAAGAGTCGTCAACTCCGTCTCCTGGAGCCAAGACGGTCTTCGTTTCCCTCAAGGATATACATGAGTATTTCATATCTTCAGTGCTAAGCTCAATTGTCTACTTTCTCTGCCACGACCATGACTTTATCCCTCTGAACTCGCGGACTTTGATCATGCCTTCATCTGAGTCTTTAGAGCCGGGTGTCGGGCTTGGAAATGGCATTGAGCTTGCTACCTTGGATATTAGTCTTACTTCATTGGGCGTACTCGTAATCAAGGCACATACTGATACAGCACCTGGTCTTCAAACATCGGTCAATACTTTGATACCAGGTAAACCTCCAGCTGCCGTGTCCCTAGGTGCTGCTCTGTGGCTTGCACCTAGTGGAAGTGCTGCCAGACTCTACAGTGTTCCGGATGATAAGCCGCTACCTGGTAACTTGCCAGTTTCTCAAATTCAGGAGGTCGATTCACGACTTAATGGCATTGATACTCTCACCATCACATCATGGAAATCAAAGTGTCTGGAATGGTTATCCACCATGGGCCTGGAATCAAAAACTCTTGAGGCCAGTGGCTGGCTCTATGTCCAGATTATTGGCGGCCATCTTCCATATTTTAATGCCGACACCCAAGCGATACCGATGCTGGAGGAGTTGGCTATTGTTCCTTGGCCAGCCATATTGTGTTTTCAGACCTCAAGCACCGAAACCCAAGACTCCAATATCTGGATATCAGGCTCTTTTTCTTACCGTGATCCCCTGTTATTTGCAGAGGAGTGGTTCACATCCAGGGAGGAGAGAGCTGCGACTGTATCCAAGCGACAGAAAGAAAGACAAGCTCATGCGGATGCTTTGTTAAGAGAACAGGCAGACACCGACGCTCGTGCTCTACAATCTCACACCTACTATCCAGCTGCTTTGCGCAGAAGCAGCAATGCTGGTGCAATGTATCCGACCCCACCAGATGCACCGCAACCTCACATTGGGGCCACACCATCTTTTGATGGTAATGTTTCTACCCCGGGAAATCAGAGCCATGCTGTTGCTCATGATACAAGTGGTATTCAACCTTCGAATCCTATTGCGGCGGACGTCGACACTGACATGTGGGCTGCCTCAGGCAAGAGGCAGCGGATGAGTTCGGGAAATACGTACAACGATAACGACAACGACAACGATAACGATAATGAGAATGACAACAGCAACCTCTTTGGTGACCTCGGCGGCGATATGTTTGGGACACATATCACAGATGATGACTTCAACTTCTTCGATGAGCCTGATCTTGACGAATTCGACCATAAGACCCTCTTACCGCCACCTGGAAAACTACCAGACGTACAGAATGTAGTGCCATTAGCAAAAAAATCTTTTCTCAACGATACAATGGAGACTTTGGGACCTGTCGTTTCTGAGATGTCTCTTAAGGCCCAAGATGATAGGTTGTTGGAGCAGAAGCATGAGCCAAACACAAAGGAGCTGAAAGAAAGAAAACCGCAAATATCAATCCCAGACCATGCCAACTTTAAGGTAGAAACTGCGACTTTACCTCCGCCTTCTATCAATCTCCCATTCAACAAAGAGATTATTTTCCATCGATTGGCACAAGAATCGATAGTGTCAAGGTCGCACGAACAGCCCAGGCGGAAGAGTGTTTTCAATCAGGTTTATTTCGAGGACTCGCTCCAATCGGTCAATGAAAAGTATGGCCCTCGGGGCCAGTTCAACTTCACTCTCCAGAGAAAAAGTCCCGTGGAAAATCTCGTTGATGGGCTTCCGCAGACGGCTTATTTTACCAGTAGGCGGAAGACCCACGAGAAAATTGTTGAAGTGAGTAAAATCGCCCAGATATTGGGCGAGAAAGAGACCTGTAATTCTCCAAAGATAGACGACCCCATGGAATATCTTACAGCTTCTGTTGGAGGGAGTCCAATATCCGAACAGGACGACAGTAGCCATACTACAGAGGAACCTTTGACTTCACCCACCCTTGGCCTCAAGCGTAAATGGGAGGGCGATGACAAGGATGATATAACATCGACCTTCGATGCTCTCGCAATGGAGTTTGAGCATTCTGCTGGTACTCCTCAGTCAGTAGGCGGCTCACAAATGCATCTCCTCGATGCTGACCCTGCAGCTTGGGCATTGAATACCTATTTCTCTTCTCCAGAGCCTGCTACGGAACCCAATACGCTCTCCGACTTGGAGTGCATTGCAGGGGCACAGGTTCTCGCTGATCAGGCTATTTCAGGGACACTCCGTCTGCCCGGCTCAGCTACCAATGAGCCAGCCATTTCTCTGGACATGACCTTCACCACGAGGCAGCTTATTCATCGCCTTTCGAAAGCCGCAAAGTCATGTCTGAAAGATGGAACAACATGCACATTGCGTTCTTTCTTGGATATCCAAGGCATACCTGCTTTAAATCAGGCACTTCGTCTACCCCCGCGCCCGATGTCGATCCCACGAGCACCTATAGATTCCCGACCAAACAACATATTTCCCATACCTCCTCCGCAAATCGAGGTCCGCCGATCAGAGTCGAAATTGTCTATTCTCCCCGCCTCGGTGCCCTTCTGGGAGAATCTAGGCCTCGCCCCTTCGACAGGCACAAAAGATGTAGATGCTGTTTGTGTGTATCCGAACTTCGAGGGTCTAGCTGCGAATGCTACCACGTTCCTCGATCAGATGAGAAGTGTTTATGAATCCTCGAGATTCGGTATTCATGACAGGCTCGTAACTAAGGATATAGGTAACGGCCTCCTGCCTTATACTATTGATTTGACGTCGCAGAACAGAATGCAGCATTTGACCTCTCTCATGGAGACGGCCGCACGACTAAGCAAGAACTTCGCGTCTTCACCAGTCAGCGAAAAGAACTTCGTGGTCTATTTCGTGTATCCAATTGATAATAGTGTACTTTTAGTCCATATCTGCTCTGCTTTTCAGCATCTGTTCAACCTCTACCGGAAAGCGCTCTCCGAAAGACGCGCGAATGCCGCCAATGAGTTGGTCCTTCAACTGGTTCCGTTGGACTTTATCGCATCACCGACCTCTATGGCTATTCCCTTGCCTTCGAAATGTTTTCAGTTGTCTATGGAGGTATACGACCGATGCATGGACTTCGCATCGTCGTCGTCATCTCCTGCTATCGTTCTAGAGCAACCGTTACCCCGAACCATCGACTTTAAGATAAACACGAATCCATCAGCGTCCTTGCTTCACGAGAACACCTGCCTACACATTGCATATGCTCATAGCATCGACGATAGATGGATCACTGCTGCATGGACCGATAATCGAGGAACTCGACAGATGACGGCATCTTATTGTCTAGGGAGGAGATGCGAACCTGTTACAACGCCATTCGTGGATATCGCCAATGAGATATGGCAGACTACACTCCAAGTCATCTCAGGCAGAAAGATCCACTGGCGAATATTTATCGCAAAAATTGGGGTTATGGATGCTTCCGAGCTAGATTTTTGGACCGGACTTGCATCGACTGAATCAAACGCTCAGATCAGCTTGACGCTGGTGACAGTTCAAACTGATCCTTCACTACGACTGCTGCCACCATATGTCACTTTAGCACCAAACGGCACTGCGGCGCAATCGGTCCTCACTCCAGTCTCGACTCCACAGGCTTTACAATCATCAACTGGCTCGCCAGACAATGCATCGACACCAGTTCGTGGGGGAGTAGGCACTGGACCACCCGCAGAGTCTTCAGTCGAACCTGACAGCGATGCACGACTGATCGATCACACCGATCAAAGCTGGGGAGCCATTCTCTCCCACCGCCTGAACAACTCAAACTCGCTGATGGAGGTCAACCCAGCACTCATTAGTGGATATCTCCTAAAACGCGGGGGGGTGAATATTGATGATCCTCCTATTATAATGGAGGTCAACATTTTGCATAGCGAGGTCGTTGGAAATCCAAGGACATTCCACGAGTCTCTTTTGCGAGAATTACTTGGGTATTACAGGGGGCTTGGGACCATCGCTCGAACGAGAGGGCTGGTTGATGCAGTGAAAGATGTAAGACCTTGGCATATTGCTGCAGCGGAAAAGGCGGTCAAAGCTTTGTACATGTCGATGTGATGCTGATATAGTGAGCCTCCCGGGCCAGTTCAGAATAGCGTTGCTGAGGCTGGTTTGTGATTCCGAGCTACATTAACAACCTAAAAATAGTCTAGAGAGAGAAGACGAAGAGTAAATAGTCCAGACTTGATAGATATAATGAAAAAAGAAACCATTCAAACCAAGAAAACGAAGGTCGAATATATTTTCCTGTCTGCGTGCCGTCCTCAAGCCAATTACCAGCTGCTGCTAATTCTATCATTTACACCGAGCACTAATATCAGAGCTTCACCAATATCGAAGCTGCAGAGGATGTACGGAGCAATATATCAAAGCCGTAGGCTTCAACAAGGCTAAGAGCTCGTTGTCCGGTAACAAATCTTCCTCCTCTTCCGTCTCTGCCTTGGTCTCTCCATCCCCTTCTCCATCGCTGCCAACTGACGTCGTCGCATTTACAAGGCTGGCCTCCCTTTTCCGCCCGAGCTTTCTCCGCTATCTCATTCTCCATCCCGCTCCTTTATCTATTTTTTCCCATTTCGACATCGTGTTAGTTTAGGTACCTATATGAAAAAATCAACCGCCAGCAACGTCCTCTAAACTCTCGCAGCCAAGTAGCATCTCCCCATCGCTCCTCTCCAGAAAGCGCGCAGCGACCTCTGGTACTGCTGGACCGTGGAGGTCCCGCTGAGGATATCCACGATGGATCATATCCATGCCCCGTCGATGTCTTTTTCAGCAAAGGAGAACAGAGACGCTCGGCGAATTGATGCGTCGAGAAGGAGGCGCTTTCCGACGTGGTGGTACGGACGCAGGAAGGTGCATCTTGTGGCTTGTGTGACTCGGGGAAGTTCTCGAGATGCAGGGATTTGGTGTCGGGAGTCGAGTTTTTTTTTGTCTGGTTTGGCGAGAGTACATTCGATAAATGTGTTTGTTTAGGTAGATCGATGCATCGGGATTCGCGCTCCTATGTCTGCCGTGTGAGGTCGCTTCGCTTTGGACTACTTTCGCTGTATTCGATCTTCTTTGGGAGAGCCCGTTTGCGGGTCACTCGTGCTTTGGCGAAATCTCCAACACCAACACGATTTTGATGCCTGGAGACAAGGCAGAGACATTTAGAAAATACCTAGCAAGTGCGATTACAGGATCCGGTTGGGAAGGAAGCTCTCAATTCACGCCTGATTTCAGATCCCAAGCAAGCTGTACAAAGACGGGGAGCCTGAAGCACTTTGCCCGAGGATTTTTCGGTTAGAGATTTGTGATTGTGAATGACAGCAAGCCTCGGTCTGACAGCTCTCAATTCTCGACACAGCCTTCGCTACTTACGAAATATTCTCTTTTGAAGAGTTTTGCTAAGTCAGTCTGGGTCCGGGCCGGCGATGAAGTCGGTTACGAGTCACGACCTACAGCCGCGTTCTAATGAGCTTCAGTCTACTTTAATATGAGGATATAGCTTGACGACTCACGGTTCGTAGGATGAATGGATAAGGTCCCAGCGGCAGAGGACAATTGGAAATGAAAAGCGTTATCATTAATCATCTATTGATCTGCCATACTGTACCATGCAATGCAAGTACTCCAGAACACCACTATTCCTAAACGCCGGCCTAGGACGCTTAAAATTCTTCGACATCCTCATCATCATATTCATTAATTCCCTCCCGATCCTCAAATCGCATGAAGGAAGACATATCTGCCTCTTCTATAACTGATTTCCATTGCGTCTCGACCTCTTCGAGCATTTCATCGTTGAAGGCCAGGTCAATGGAAGCTTCGGAGAGTTCACCGCTAGACTTGAAAGTCTGCTCTTGCTCGTAGTAGAGGATATACAGAGCATCCCCACCCTCTTCGGCAGATTTGAGGAAGGTCGCCAAGGCAGTCTCGAGGTGTGATTTGCTATCGTCAGAATGCAAGGTCGTGCCGTAAATAACACCTGTTTGATGATTAGCTATCTTGCCTATCGTCATAGTTGCTAGTGTGTAGGAGAGAGAGAAGAGCACCATCAGTATGTCAGAGGTATTTATCGTCAATGGAGTTCAGACAATGTAGATAAGTATTCATAAGTTGAATCATCATATAATGCAGGGAAGAGAGCAGCAGAAAGAAGGGGAATACTGACATTGACCATTTGGACATTCGCCGGTTTCGCTGGAGTGTACCATCAGGTGAACAGGGTTGGGTTGAGATACGCCTTCGACGGCAAGTGAGCTCGGAGGAAATAGCACGACTGAGACCGCAGCCAAGGGGGAGCCTTCGACAGAGCTCCTGAACAGCGAGGTCAGAGGCGATGAAACCACGGCGACAACCTTGGAAACAAGTTTGGCGTCTAGTGAAGGACTATCGGGAGCCTGAACTAGATGTTTGGTCTTGACCACCTCGTGATTTGAAAGATGTACTTCAGTACGTTCTTCGTCGGACGAGATCTTGTAGCTCGTGACACCAGTTCCAAGTACATAGATACCGCCTCCAACAGCTCCGGCTCGACAAGCGACTTGTGATATCTCAGCACCACCACCCCACTTCGCTACGACAGCTCCAAACCCAGGTCCGAAGACGCCAAGCGAGGAGAGGTGTCGAGAGACACGCGGTAAAGCCCACTTCACAGGGATGATATCGGGAGGATCCAGTGACAAAGTCAGCGCGGCGATGACGATCTGCAGGTTTGGAGGGAGCTGGAACTGCGATGAGAGGAACCCAGCAAGCCCACTATCACTGTGGGATTGCCAGACCTCAGTTTGGTTCTCGTAGTCGACGACAAATTTTAAAAACCTCATCAAGCTTCGCTTTGCACGGTTATCGATGTTCTTGTCTTGAAATATATCTTCCCTGCCATTTGGCAAACGCTTTAAGGGTGCGCCATCTTGTCCATCGAAGATCCACCAGTTGCCAACTGCTTGAAACTCGAGGTGGCGGTAGACCTTCGACGCTACAAGCTGGGAGAGAAGCTTTGATCTTGTGTAGATGATTTGCGGCGAGAGGGTCAGGGAGTATGCCCTTGAGAACGACAGCTTGGACTCATTCGGAGATTCGACGGCCGGCTTCCACAGAGAGGCATTTCGAAATGGCTTGGAAGGATCTGGAACGCGTCAGCTTCAACCACGAGGACATTCGGGGCGATAGTGCGTACCTTGATTGACCTTCTCTACCCACTCATCGACCTCCTGCAGACTGAACGCAGCTTCAGCGCCGCCATAGTATTCGTTCGGGTCGACGTGGAGGATTTTCTTGTTAGATCGGGACAGGGCTCTTCATGGACAGCTAGGTCAGTCAGAGATGATCCACGATTCCCAAGGCTAGAATCATAGTCTCACAAGGCAAGCAGAGAATGCTGGAGTCCCGTGCCGGATATAACGACATCCCATTTTGTTTGGCTGAGAGATTCCATGGTGACACTGTGCGAGAGAAGAGGCCTTCTTATGGTTGGAAACTCGAGAAATCAAAATTGATGAGGCTAGCGGGGCGCTTGTGCCGATTTGGGATAGGGGATAAATCTCGTGATCTCGTGCACGGGATCAAAGCTCGGGAATTTGCCGTCGTCAATTTTTTTTCTCTTCTCTCTCATCCGTCCGACCACCTTCACAGCTCTGCCTTACAACAGAGACTCGTGTGGTGAGAGGCTCTTTCATTAGAGTCCTCGCTGGTGGACGGCAGACCAACGTTTCGCACCCGTCCCGTATCTACTGCTCATGAATATCGGAGATCTGAAAGAGCAGTTCGAAGTGGACGGTACATCTTAACTTGAAAATGTGTTCTCTGTATGCGGGCAGTCTGGGACTGGAACAACGGAGGCCGTTGAAGGGAAATGGCATGGCTTGTTGCGGGAAGTTTTGTCTGAGGAACACCAACTATCCTTCTCTATCATGCATTCTCGCAACTCTTTACAACTGGGCCGATTTTGATGACCATCTCAATAGGCATACTCTTCGTGGCTGGAAATTTTACATATCTGCCCGCCAGACACTGGTTCCCGCGAATTAGTCTATTGTGATTGATTTTCCTTTTTGCAAATTACACCTTTAGAGATGGACAACGGGTTTATAAATTCTATTTCACATGAACCCGTGGTTATCATTCTGTACTTTGCACAATCTTGCCTTTTACTCCTACCAACAAATTCTCCTTGCTCTCTTTGACTCCAAATGCGTCGATGTCGTTGATCCATGTCAATACCTCCAACTCCTCTGCAATAGTCCGAGCATCCCATCTCTGGAAGAGTGAGGGAGTGGCTTGCTGGTCGCCTGGCTCTGCTCTGGATTGCTTTTTGTCATCCTGATGTCGCTAGATCTCCTTGTGCTTTTGGGTTTTTTTGTTATGCGTGCGGTATACACCTATCTATCTATCTATCTATCTATCTATCCATCCATCTATCCATTCATCCATCTACTTGTCCCCCTTTCCTTAGGTCTTGGTGAACGAACGACCGACTGCTGTAAGTACCTACGGGGCTTTACTTATTCATGATAAGCAAGCTGTATATTGACTTGATAGCATGCCATGCTATGCTAGATGCGGTGCCTCCAGCGATAGTACAGAGTATACATTATAGCGTTGTCGACTGAGAATTAGATTTTCTGTTTACATACATTCTTCTTAAATCTCACACGCTCAATAATCGATCTGCATCAAGGCTGAGTGAGGAAGTACATTCTAACAGCGAAAAACGTCCGCGCTTGATTTAGAGCGCCATTTCATGTGTTCATTTCGTAAATTACAATATAGTTAAGTAGGTAAGTAGGTAAATCCATCCGTATCTACAAAGGTATCTCCCATCTTCTTCCGTCTGAAAACAACCAGCCACAACCCCCATGGCCAAAGACCACCAATCCAAAAGCCATCCTCCCTCCCTCGCGAGCACCCACTCAGATCGCATAATTCTCCGTATGCAAGAAAATCTCATCTTTGCTATCATCGCCCCAGATATCCGCCTGCAGCCGCGCCACCGTATTCGCGACATCAACCCGCATGCTCGGCGGCCCGCACACAAAGACGCACGTCCGGCGCCCGAAGATGCCCTTCCCATCCGCGCCCCCCGTCGCCATCTCCTTCAGCATGTAGCCCAGCTCCGGCCGACCGTACTCCGTCGACCAGCCCTCCTTCTTCTTGGCGCCCACGAAGGCGAAACGCATCAGGTTCTTCTGGAACTCGGTCGGCGTGCTCGGGAAGCCGAAGCTCGCGGAAGCGGTCTGCGACTGGCACTGGGAATGGGAGGTTGGGATCTGGATGTGGAGATCGCTAGGGTGGGGTCGGGTGTGTGCCGCTGCGGGCGGTGTTGGCTCGGACCTTAGCGGAGGAGGGGCGAATGCGGATTGGGGGGGTGGGAAGGGCTCGGAGGGCATGTTGTAGGATTGGGGTCGCGAGTTGGGGTTGGAGTCGGAGGGCGTGTTGGACGCGGCTCTGTTGTGGACGTTGGGAGGCGGTCCTGGAGGAGGCGGAGGATAGTTTGCCGGGGCGTAGGAGCCTGTGCTGATGCTGCTCAGGCGGTTGGGGTCGGGAGATGGAGGCGCGAACTGGAAGTGTGGTGTGTCGTGCTGGGGAGAGGGTGGTGGCAAGTGGGACTCCCCTGGGCGTAGGTTGGGGGAGAGAAATTTCCGGGTTGCTTCGTGGCTATCGGTTTCGATGCTTGCTTTTTCTGTTTCCTTGCCTTCGGGCTTCTCTGTAGCGTTTTCTCGAAACGCCTGTTGAGGCGGTGGCGGGAAGAATACTCTTGGTGGAAGTAGAGGTGGGAGCACTTTGTGCTGTAAGTGTTTTGGGTGTGGGAGGGAAGTGATTGCGTCTTCGTCCTCCTGTCTGAGTTCTCTCTCACGATCCTCGTCTCCTTGAGCTTCATCCCGGATAAATTGCGAGTTTCGTTTCGGCGCAATCCCAGCCACGAAGCCATCGAGCTTGTCGTGGAAGACCGTACTAATGGGTCTCGGTGCCCTCTCGCTCACCCCATTTCTCGGCTGCCTCTTTGCAGATGTCACGTAGAACTGGCAGGTCACCGAGTCCGGCGGAGCGTACTCTCTGCAAATCCGGAGCTCTTCCTTGAACCAATCCATGGATTCAAGTCTCTTCAGAGCCCAGATAACCTCAATCTTTCTCGTCACAGCCTTGCCGTCTCGCATCCTCTTGATGAGGTTCAACAGTTGTGAGACAATGGCTGTGATACCGCTTCCTCCGGCAAAAAAAATGACTGTATCAAAAGCAGCCAGTTCTCGTTGCATTCCACCGTATGGCCCTTCCAAGTATGCACGATACGTCTTGAATGGGCCTTTCTCGATAGCAGTTTCCAGCACTCTTCTGGTGAACCCACCAAACGGTCGGAAGACCAGAGTACAGTCTCTGTACAGATCGCCGTACTCCGATGGGAAGTCTTCGCTGCAAAGTGACGATATCGTGAAAGGATGGTTCTCGAAGACCGAAATTCCTGGCATTCTGAGGTAGACATATTGGCCAGGCCTCCAGGTCATCTGGGTCGGTATTGTTACCTTAATGGCATTCTCCGCCATCAGAGTAACGGCAGCTTCATCGCCGATCAACCACGCATTTCTCCAGGGCTTCATCCAGTTCAGGCTGAACAGTCGCACAAAGTACGAAAACGCCCAGATGGAAACGGTCGCATACAGATAGTTCCGTGATAGAAGGTAGTTCCTGCAATGCCAGAAGAGCATACCGACGTAAATGGCTGCAGCTGGGATATGTAGCATAGTGAAGAGTTCGTAAGCGAGGGATCGGATAAATGGTAAGGATGCGGTGCATAGCCATCCGAGCGGAACAAGACATGCGATTCCGCTGCCGTATATGATTCCGCTGCCGGGAGGGAAGAGCTTTGCGAAGACGGTCATGCCGCCATCCTCCCAGACTGGCTGGACGTAGAAGGGAATCGTGTGGACCAAAGACAAGAACAGGCAGAGGTATCCGCCCCATCGATGAAAGACGCCGAGTCTCTCATGGCTGATTCCTGTGACAAATGTAACGAGGTTTGCTTTCATGCTTGTTGCGACTATCCAAGGTGTCATTGCAATTGCGATCATGCCGGCTCGGACTGCCAGTGGCGGAGATCCGTATCGAATGCTTTGCCAGTACAGCGGCTGAGGTAGAAAGCAATAGAGGGTCACGAATGCCGTTGCGATAACCAGGATGGCAATGACTGCCAAAGACGGGAAGCTGAGAATCATCCTCTTCTTCCATTTTATCTCAGGCACTGGCCGGTAAAATATCCATCGGAACAAAGCTAGCGTATCGTTCACAAAACCAAACGAGGACCAGTGCGACTGTCCTCTGGTAAGAACGAAAGACTTCTCGTCGTTTTCCCGGGGGAAGAGTTGTTGCCCGGTTCCTCCCGTTACAATATTTCCCATGGCATAATCCGAGTCGGGCGAATAGGTCATCATGTGTTGCTCCACCTCATGCTTGTGCATCGCCTGCCTCAGTTTGTCGGTCCAGAGATGGTAACATCTTGTAACGCCTACGAGCACAACCAGAACCAAACAGAAGTATGTCCATCCAAGCCCGTACTTACCAGACTTATCAAAAGGATCGACTGTATTCGCTTCGATTAATCCTGGGGGACTTGTTGCTGTGAGGGGTATGTTTATGCGCTTCGAAATCTCAACGAGTGTCTGGGAACCAGCCCTTTTCGCAGAAATCTGTCCAAATATTGAAGGCATTGTCGCAAATGCTGATGTTCAGATTTAAGTCTTCTATCTGGGAGTAGATTTGGGGTCCAGAGCAACTAATAAGTGCCAGAGGCTTGTGAGATTTTGTCAGCTTAGGGCAGTCTCAGGGTAAGCTTGACTTTTCACACCTTTGATGTAGACTCTGACGTTGCCAAGGTATAAATTCACTATACCGAGGCCACTAAAGTCGGCCTATTCGCGGTGGGACGGATGCGAGTAAAATGCTTTCAAACGCTCCTATGCAGAGATGCGAGGAATACCGGAATCCCCAACTAGCACGATATAATAGAGCGAGGAAATCAATAACTGAGCGCAAAAACCAAAACCAAAAACAAAAGGCAGATAGAAGCACAAATTCAGAGAGAAATTTCGTGTACGGGTCGGCAGGCGATGGTCCGATATGTATGTGGTGGGTCGGTAAGGTGTGGGGGATTGCGGCCAGCTCGAGTGCCACAAGCTTCGTCCTGCAGGTGGAGGCCAGGCCATCACCCCTGCGCCAGGTCTACTATTGCTTTCGAACCAGAGAGAATTTGCGCTGCTCAAGTCTTTAAAGATCCGATAGAGCCAGTCAGATTGATATTTGGCGTTTTTGAGTTCTAGCAAGAGGCGTCGAATTTGCGACGGCGGTTCAGGGCGAGCCTATATTGGCCCTGGACCCCAGTTGCCAATACCGCTCTTATCGAAGAGCGCCAGTGCTGTAGCTGCTGCTATGACGCATGTAATATAGAGGGTATGTTAATCACCAAAAAGTGCTTGCATATGTTCGGAGGAACAGGCCTTCTTTTGGGTGGCAAGAGAGGGGAGAGGAGAGAGGTTGGGTACTTTGACTTCACTAGTTGAAGAAGACGCAGACTTGGTATCTTTGAAAGGTTTCCGGCGCAGTTTGGCTTCGGATCAGAGTTCTCATGCAACTCCAGAGAGTGACTTACTTCCAACAAGCAACGATAGACAAGATGGCAGAAGCGATGGAAAGGTATGACCTTGGCCAGTGTTGAAATCAAATTCCGTGCGCAAGCTTTCTGCTTGCGCAACCACAAGAGCCGAGAAGCTCTAAGTAGAAGCTGAGAAAGTACATGCAGCAATATGGGTGGCAGAAGGGTGTTCCTCGATGTTTTCTGCGTGCAGATGAGCGGCAACAGATTGATGTTGATTCGTTCAGCCTTTCTCGCTTAGAATTCGCCCTGCAGGAGGATCCGGCTCGAGCCATTAAGAAGCTTGGCCATGTTGGGCGTGAACGTGACCGCTTCTCTTGTGCAACTTCGCAACTTCGCAACTTCTAACTCGCAATTGACGATTCATGATCCCTTGGGAGCTTTTACCGCGGGCTTTCCCTTTGGAGACTCGTCTGCATCTCAACAGGCAGTTACCGTAGAACTTAGACTGACTGGTAGGATGCAGTCGATCAGATAGGGCTATGGGGTCACGAGTGAGTCGTAATATGGTAAACGGAAGTGCTAGATAAATTTTATAGATTCATTATGTAAGGCGTACGTGTGCAGCATCTGAATACGAAAGTGGAAGGAACCTAGCGATGGTGTCACGTGACAGCAATAAGTCAATATATCTTTGCTTCGATTTGCTCTAGTCAAGGTTTTAAGCCATTGAAGAAGTGCGTGCCTCAGAGCTCTCAGGATGCGTGCCAGTCTGCTCAGCTAAAGCGTGCAGGCAAGGGATTTCTCATTGAGAGTTTACTTAACTCCCAGCATGATGTATGTACGCCGTATGAATGAACACCCAAGAACTAGCGCTGGGATACAGTGTATAATGGAGAAACGCTATAGTGAAAAGCAATATAATGCAAGCGGAATAGAAACGGAAAGTGAATAACTCATACATCGAGCTGTGCGACTTCCAGTGAACTTCACCTAATGAAGAGGTGCGGCGTGAGCCAGCGGAAAGGGAGGAAGTTTCATGGGATGCAAGAGAGAAGGAATTAGAGCTGATCAAGAAGGAAGATGCGAAATCAGAATTGTCATGTTGGAGTTCCGGGGCTTGTTTATTCTGGATGCAACTTCATCTTTCAGCCTCGTCGATGCCTCGCTTCTCATTGGTTTGTGGATTGACTTTCGGCGTTTGACTGGGTCCCTCGAAAAGAAATCCGATCACCAAATATTTCGCCTCGTCCCGACCTTTCCTCCCATCCACCATTCATTCCACTCTTCCATACCCACTTCCACTCCAACAACCTCCGCAATGGCATCCGCCGGCCCTCCCTCGACACTATCTTTCCCCAGAGAAACTTTCGCAAAGCTCTCTCCTCACCCATACCTCCTCGCGCATCTCCAGCCGTCTTCCTCGAATGTCCCATCCACCCGCGCAAACGGCAGAACACCAACCCAGTTCAGAACCCCACACATCAACAATGGCTCGCTGACACACGCCGAGGGCAGCGCCGTGGTACGGATAGGGGATACGACTGTAGTCTGCGGTATTCGGGGCGAGATCTTGCTTGCTAGCAACGTGGCGGGGTATCGAGTAGACAACGCGACGACAGCGCCTTCGGCCCAACCTGGATACAATGAGGCGAAGGAGTTGGATTTGCTGGTTCCCAATATCGAGCTAGCTACCGGATGTTCACCAGCATTCATGCCAGGTCAGCCCCCGAGTACGTTGGCGCAGAGCCTGAGTACGAGGATCTATTCGCTTCTGCATTCGAGCGGCTTGGTTGACGGCGAGGAATTGAGAATATGGTATCAGCCACCGGACCTTGGCGACCAAGACCGGATGGAGGAAGATGATCCAGAGGACCTAGAGCCCGAGGTCAAGGCGTTCTGGGTCCTGTACATCGATATCCTGTTCATCTCACTTGACGGAAACCCCTTCGATGCGGCATGGGCGGCGGTGGTATCAGCTCTGAAGGATGTGCGTTTGCCAAAGGCTTACTGGGATGCAGACCGGGAGATGATTCTTTGCGAAGACTCCGTGTCGATTTCGAAGAAGCTCACGTTGAGAGGCATGCCGATTGCTGTCACAACCTTGGTTTTCAGGGCGAAGGAGCAAATACAGGGTCGGGACAAGAAACACTGGATATTGGTTGACCCGGACACATTTGAGGAGGGACTATGTGACGAGAATGTTACGATCGTCGTCGATTGTGGGGGTAAGAAGACTAAGTTACTGGGCATATCAAAGTCTGGTGGGACGATTGTTGGAAGCGAGGAGATGGGTGAACTGGTGGGCTTGGCTGAGAAGAGGTGGAAGGAACTCAGCACGCTACTGGAACGATGATAATCGAAGAAGCTGTCAAGCTGTTTGATGTGATTGCCTGGACTTATGAGCCACGGAAAGGACCATGTAAGCTTACGACTTGGGTCTGTGCTGCCGCAGATCATACGGCAAAATACACCATTGGCTCAGCAAGTATAAGCAGCTTGGTTGTTGAAGCTAGATGACTATTCGCAATCCACGGTCGAGTGAGCGCCTGGATCGAAGGTCAGGCGGGTGTGCCTTTGACAAGATATTGCTGCGATGTACTTGTCCGAGTATACTTATTGACCGAGGTCAACAACACAAAGGCTTCAACAAATGAAAATATACCCGCCCTTCTATCTTTTTTCTTCTTTTTTTTCTTGGTTTCTCCTCCTTTGGCTTTAATGTTTGTATCTCAGGCATCTGCATCATGAGGCTTTGACTAGACCTTGGGCAACGACACCCACGGTAGTCCTAGCGCTCGACTACGAAATAACCTCGAGACTCAGAGTCTCAATACTCCTAAGCTTCCTAGAGTCATTCTCTCTTCGGCATCGATACCAGCGCTCTCGGCCGAGACTATAAAGTCCCAATCCATGAAATCTCCCTCCCCCCTCCCTTGATTACTTCCGCCGGCTACAAAGACCATGGAGGTGTAGATCCGATGACGCCGCTCGATACTCTTACCTGCTCACATTCTTCAAGGAAGGGCAAGATATTCCGTTCTTTTTTTCTTTCCCTTGCTCCTTATCCTTTGTTTTCCTTTTCTACCCAAGCGTAACAGGACAACAAACTGACGACGAGCTACGACCAGCCAATTTCACGCCCCAGGATATGATGCATGAAGATCTTGAGCAAGTCGGCGGCGGCACATACTCTGGTCAGCTCCTGCCCCCGATTACTAGGAGGTCTAGCCCATCCTCGTTGCAGGCTGCAATAGCGTCCTCCACGCCGCCTCCGGCTTCTACATCGTGGCTGCAACGTTCACCTGCATTGGGACCCTTCTCGGATTCGCTACCGTCACCGTGCTCGCGCTAGGCTGGACGGCCGTCGCGCCGCTGGCATTATTCACGGCGTCGATGACCAGCTCCATCCGTATTGGGGCGCGGCTATTATGGGGAAACGTGAAGAAGGTGCGGATGGTTCGATGTACTACGGCAAAGCTTCGCGTCGCTCAGCGGGTATCCATCGAGACCTCGAGGAAGAGGGTAATGGACTTGAAGATTGAGAGACTCTCGTGCGGGCGAAAGGGTCCACAACTGGTGAGATACTCGATGAGGATATAGGGAAATCGGTTCCTTCCTAACCTCAGACTTGCAGTGCGAGACGTTGCTAGGATGATGTGATGCATTGCTCCTTGTGCGGTCGGGACAGCTCTGGCAGACCGAGAAGACAGACACGTTTGGCTCTCTCCTTCATCCTCGATATAGAAGCGTCCGAGCTCTGTCCTGTGCTGCTGCTGCGATCCGGCAATATGTGAGTGGTGAGCCTCAATGATACATACAGTAAAGAAAGTCAAGCCAGACCCACTTTTCAAGTCTAAGCGAGATTTTTCTTTAAAAAAAGGGGGGAAACAAAACAATGAAGTTATTACCACTACCACTACTGCTACTACTACTAGTACTACTACTGTTCTCCACCACGCAACAGCAGCCGAACTCATGCCTCCTTTTCAACCTGTAAGCTGTACCTAGCGCCGAAAGAATCTTCGTAGCGCGCGGTGACTCTTCCATCGCGACTCGAGGCTTGCTAAAGCTCAGAGAGACCGACTGCGACGAGCGCGCGAGAACTACCTAGCGCTTCTTGACCCAGGATGCAGATGGAATACGATTGACTCATTCCGAAAAAGGAAAAAAAAAAAGGGGGGGCTATCGTCGAGCCCGGCTACATCCACTCACTTACTTGCAGCCTGTGTCCACCTGCAGTCTGTTTTACTCAAACCGGACATCTCAGCAATTTGTATGTATATATATATGTATATACATATCCTCAAGTGTTAACACTAGCGCTCGCAAGAGCCCCATCTTACACTTTTGATTTCTATTGCTTTCTTTCTCTATTCCTTTCCGTTCGGCTTTTATCTAGATCTAGATCTGGGTCTGCACCGGAGGAGCTTCAGATGGGGCTTTCTGTCGTCTTGATCCCAGGGCTCTATCTTCATCACGGATACATATATCTGGTCTCTACGCAATATTTGTTTTTTAATCGCGCGTTATCTAGGCTGGGCTGCGCTGAGCTAGGCTAGTCTAGACAGACTCCCCTCTGTAGTTTTACAACAAACCAACCCAGGTCCAGCCTCAGCGACGAAAGCGAAAGGTCTGTCTTTTCCTGCCCTCCTTCCAGGTGCTCTTCTCGTCCTTTCCGAGAGATCCTGGTATCGGGAGGAAGTTGCAGATGGTGCATCTCTTTTCATTTTCTCGCGTGCTTTCTGGTCGGCTTTATTCTAGACCTGTTCAAGAAAAGAAGGGGTAGGGAGAAAGAAGTTCGTAAGGATTGGAATGATGTGGAGGGTGGAGATTTGTTTTCCTGAATTGAATTGTAGGGGAGACGGACATGAGTTAGGTACGTGATGCTAGCGGCTAAGCAGCAGATGTGAGTGCTGAAGATGGAGGGTTGGAGAGGTAGTGCTAGAGCTGGCTTAAAAGATGCGATGTGCTTCATGCAGGACGGTGTTGATGAGGATGAGGGTGAGGATGAAGAAGAAGAAGAAGAAGACGCCGACGATTGGAAACGGTGTAGGAACTCGGATCTTTTTTCCGGCTTCACTATCCGGGCTTTTCTCGCCTTCCTCTCAGACGCCTCTAAACACAAAACAGAAAGTAAATCACCTGGTCACATAAACAAATTCTAGAACCGTCTTCCGTCAGCTGGCGGAACTCGGGACGATAAGCTCAGCGATTAAGCCGCATGGCTCACAGCCCCAAAGGTTCCTAAGTATCCAGATTTGTGTACTCCGTTGAGATTCGCGCGAGATCGTACACTACCGGGGAAAAAAAAAAAAAACCTATTGAGTAAGGTTTGTAGACTGAAACTTCATATCATTATCCTCTATCCGATGATACTACTATGAGCTTTCAGCTGAGTTTTGCATTTAAAATTTGAAATATGTTTTTGCTAAAAAAAAATTGCAATCTAACAAGATGAAAGTACCTAAGGTTATACCCATCCCGTACTTCGTTTATGCTCTTGGGTTGGGATACCGAATGTATATATCATTGCTCTTACCGATGGCCCGATTAGTGCTTATGCAAGCGATAGCTTTTCTGTACGAAGTACGAAGTAAATAGTCTGGACTTCCGTATGTACTACTAGCGAGCATGCGAGTTCCTGGCGAGAGACTGACTGACTCAGGTGACGTTTTCTAACGCTTCTCCCGAACTTCGCGAGCATACACACTCCGCATTCATGTTTGAGAAACACTCGGACTGGGGTTCTGTCACCACATGGCGGACTACTTGATATCTTTCTTATCGGACGCTATCGTGAGAGATGCTTGCATATTTTTTCATTGGAGGAGGTCCAGTAGGTAGCTGACGTACGGACAGGGTGACGCTCTGACAAGCAGGTGTCAAGTCGAAGTATATTCAAGCCGTAGTTTTCCGTTCCCGCTGTCAGGAACGCCAGAGTGTACTTGACGTGTTTCGACTCCAAACGTTAAAACCGCATCCTTAAGCCGAGCGAGCTTCTCGATTGGAGGATAGTGCTTGATCAACTGTGAAACGTTTCAGATGCGAGAGTGAGAAAAGCTCGGTTGGAGAAGCCTTTTGAGAGAGAGAGAGGGGGGGAGAGAGGTGATTCTTGGCCAGATGAGAAATGGAATGATATGGCGATCTAGAATAGTCTCTGTCGATCTACGATAATGAAAAAATCTCTTGGAGAAAACTTTGAGGCTTCATATGGTGGCAGGCATATGGGCGCTTTTTACGGCCGAGCAGGTCTGTGGTGGACGAGAGGTAGCTCCAGTTGATGTGCGAAGAGAGTACACGGCTTGGGACACTCGTGCTTCCACAACTCATATTGAGACGTCCAGTATCCGAAGGCCTCATACGTAGTATATCGGTGGGGCTGCTGGTTCACGGAGTAGTTCAGAGCCCCGGCTTGAGACTCTGACCTCGTCATAGCGAAGCGATCATGGGGAAATGGGCCCCGTTGATCTCTCCCTTGTTTGATGATTGGCAAAAAGCCGTGATGTTACGCGGATTCCCAAAGTGGGAGAAGAGCCCTTTCAGCCAAAAAAAAAAAGAAAAAAAAAGAAACATATGCACGCATAGCTCTGAGGCAGAACTGGTCATTTCCTGCTCATCGACCCCGAAAGACATTGAGGCCAAATGCATCAACATGCATTTTCGATCTGGCTGCAAATATGATGCCTGTGTCCCGTCCGCACCATTATGGGAGAGGGAGAGCTTTTAGTAGGTCAAAAAGTGCCCAGCCATTATTGACCCATATCTTGCCGCCCACTCGAGAAAAGCGAATGATTCTCAGATTGTTCAGGAAAGCTGAACGAGCAAAGAAGTGCCCCGAGATGAAGACTCGTCAGCCGGGCCAGGCACGCCTAACCTATACGGTCTCGATTTCCGTCTTGGATCCATGAGCCTGTCTCTCTTTTCTTTTGATCAATCCTAGCAACACGCTATAGAATGCTACATGTAGGAATTGACCCGTCGAAACTGGAGTCGCTACTCAGCGGTACACGGGGAGCTTGAGACATCTGGGAACACACGATACGCGAGGGATGGGGGGGGGGGATCGTGGGCCTTGCCTTTACTGTGCAGCGTGGTGATGATCCAGCTTGCGGGGGACGCGCATTTCTGTGGAAAAGAAAAGCAAAAGGAGAAGAAAAAGAAAAGAGAAAACGTGCCCAGCCGCCGGGAGTTATACCCTACTCCGTAACTCCCCAATATCTGCCATCTCTCTTTCTCTGCCCAGGGGGGTTGGCACCTTGACTCGAGGTTCCATGGGAACATCCAGCCGGATAATCAACTTTACCATGCCTCCATCCACTCCGCGTATCGCGAATTGGGCGATAAGGTTCGAGCTCCTGACAAGTTTCTCTACGCCTGATTGGATAATCGAGAGAGTTTGAAGTTTCCTGTTGGCCATGAACAGAGCGGTTCCGTTCAAAAGGGCGGTCTGGTGAACATGCCGCTCCAGGCGACAAAAGTCTGGGGACGTTGGTAATAGTTGTAACAATATTGAAGTGCGTCCCAATCAAAACTGTAGCAGTAGTTTTCCCCATGGCGAAGATCCCACCAAGTCCGACTGGTCACACCGGACTTCTCATTCGTGCAAGCTCCGAAAAGAAAATTTGTTGATGGTTTTCGCGAGATACGAACAAGATGCAAAGCAAAACTCCAAATAGCCTCATGATGATCCGTCTGTGCAGATCTGGGTGACAGATTACCAGAATGGTAGAGGCCCTGTCGCCAGATGAGAGCGCCTCCAACAGGGGAGTTCTCCGGTAAACATGATCGACAGCAGGTCCAAGTTTCAGGGGTCCAAACCAACACTTGACTCGAAAACTCACTCTCCACAGAGTTCAATTGTGCGGTTGACCCTTCGAGCAAATCTTGCCGCATTGCTCCGCGATCAAAGCGAAATCTCCACATGGAATTGATGCCGGGAACCACCCCTGATCTGGACCGACTTCTGCAGACTCTCGGGATCGCACTCTGTGTAGTGGCAGGAAACGGGAGTGGATTTAATGCTCAGTAGCTCTCGGCTAGGGCGCGACGTTGAAAGCACGCGTGCGAAGTGTACGGGGTAAGTATGGAAGGCGTTAATAACGGTAAGGATACGGAGTCAGTCAGGCATGGATGTATTCCATACAGAGTAGTACTATCCCTGTCGGGCCAGATAATAGCCTGGAGAGAGACTTTTCAGGGCGATATATCGAAGAGTCTATTGGCCAAAGCTCTTGGAAAGCCCCTTGCAAGATTACACTTTCACCCTTCATTTTAAGGGGAGTAGCAATCGTGGGCGCTTTGGGACACTGGCGGCCGGCCCTTTCTCCTGCTGGAGTACTTGGACCACCACTCTAGCCGAAAGGACTGGTGGTGGTCGAAGGCACGATTATCTATGAAGGTTTTCGAGAAGCAATCGTGCCAGGAGACGATGGCGATGCGCTTGGGCTTCCAAACTTCCAAACAAAGACTCGTTGTCGCGCCTATTCAGGTCGACTCTTGGTCGATTTAGAAAGCCACCTTTAACATGGGCTGGCTCCCTTGACGTCGTTGGACCATGATCTCTTCAGGGGCATAATTTATGGCTCGTCGATCCCAAGGTTCAAGGGGAGGGCCATACGTACGTACGTAGTAGCTGGGTCACCGGATCAAGGCCAAGTGAGTTGATCTGCTGACGGAGATGCTGCTTCAATAGGATTAGGCCGTGAGACGCTCACCTGAGGATCCGCAGTGAAGTGCAGCTCAAATCTGACAATGCTGCCACGGCGTCGGGAAAACCAAGGGAAAGGCCCCCGAGGTGAGCAGTTTTTATCGAGTGATCGACGACCCGCGTGGCAAAAGTTGCCCTTCTCCTGGCCTCTGGGATCATCGAGATCCAATATATGCAGGAGATGTATTTTCTCCTGTGCTGTGTCGAAACCGCCGCCGTACGAGGCAGTGTAACCACATCTCGGAGCTCAAGACGTGTTTACACGTGTGACAAAGTGGAATCTCTTTCTTCCGAAGGGATCCCGTACACTGGCCAGAATTTGTCGTGGCGGTGGCGCCTGTCAAGACTCAAGGGGGCTCACAAGTGCCCCGTGCGAGACCCATCCTGAACTTCCCTGGTACTGGGATTCTCGCATACAGCCTCTGAAGAGACCTCTGAAGAGACCTCTGAAGAGATGGTAATACTACAAGTATGAGATGCAATCGAGAGCAGCACACCAGTGCCACAGAGAGGTGCCGACGGCCAAACGTACCTGTCGATACGAAGATCAAGCTTCTTCCTTGCTCAGGGCCTTGGCTCGTTGGATCTGAAGATCTCCATGCAGCAGCAGGAGAAATGCTCAAGTTCTAAGTAAAGCCAGTCGGTGGCCGCCAGTATCGGCTGACGATGACGACGGTAATGCGAGAAAATCGCCTGCCGTGAATCTTGAGCTGAGAGAACCTGGGCCCCCGGATTCTGGTAAGTATAAACAGGCATGACCCGGACGATATCGTGGATGCATGTATTCGAAACCGCTCCTACGGTCCTGCTTTATTTCCATGTTAGCTGTATGCTATTTTGGACAGTACCGTATACTTTCTACCCGAGTATAACAAGTTATGCCAGTAGACTCCGTACGGAGCAAATACGTAGTATGCCAGCACTCACCTGGCTGCAGCCCTCCTTGCAAAGGGGGAATCATCTCCGAGAATTCCGTAAGGGAACTGATCGCAGGCCCCGCCCATCCCATTCCCCTGTTCTCTGGACTCTTGAATGCCCGGCCCTGACTCTTGCCTCCATCACGCTGCAGGCGCCACGACAGGGTGTCATCATGCCCGGCTTGAAGGTAGCTTGAAGTTGAGCAGCATTCTGAGGCAATCCACAGGATCATACAGTAGGGGGATTTCATGGTGGTAGGGTAGGCTCTGTGACCCGCTGCGATTCTGTGTTACGACGACGGCATCGGAGCTGGAGCTGGAGCTGGAGCTGGAGCTGGATCTGCATCTGGATCTGTGGTTGACGTTGACGTTGACGGCGACCATCGTATCTGTTCTGTATCCGCCGTAAGCACTGTATCCAAGACAGCGCTAGGGATAAAAGGGGTTCGGGCAGATCAAGCGAGCAGCGATGTTGACAACATGAGATGGACGTGAAACTCTTAACTTTGCCCATGTCCACTCACGAAACACATCTCGTCGCATCGTGATAAGATTAGTACTTTCTTGTACTACGTACTTGCAGAGCACAACTACTACCTATCGTACTACTATCAGCCAAGTCCCATCAATCCTCCGTACTTCTGTCGACCACGTCAATGCGGTGCAGTCTACCGGCATGAGAGTGGAAGGGAATAAGAAATCAAATTTCAAATGAACTATTGAACGAACGCAGCGTCAGACAGCTCGCATCGCAGGCTGAGCAGCCCAGGGTATCACTTGCAGGGAGGGGTGAAGCCGGACCAAGTGACTTCTGTTCTTTCGGTCAACCGGTCGGCTGCCAACAGCCCACGAGCAAGAGGAGTGTACAACTACCGGTACAACTACTACAACTACGTAGTACTACTACCTCCTACAACTACTCTGTACGGAATTCCGTAGTGCCGGGATGCAAGCTGCCCCCAGCGCTTCTCGCAAGAGCTGCTCGTTGAGTGTGCCCCGGGTGAGGGCTTTTGTCAAGAGAATAAATAGTCTCTCCACAGCCCCCGAACTCTCTTTCGCCCACCCACGGTCCATGGTCCACGGTCCACCACCACCTGCCGAGGGACAGTGACGAGGATACTGATACTACGTACCTGTAACAGTACGGAGCCCCCTTTCCTTCCGCTCCGTACCCACTGCACCTGGGAGAAGAGTACGGAGACAGATACCTGATCTACACTACCCGAAGGCGAGGGTTGGCGACGGCGCTGTTAGCGCATCATGGATAATGACTAGGGACCCCAACTCCCTGGGCGTAACAGGGGCATCCGACTCGAGTCGACACGGTAATGCCTGGCTGGATGCGCCCAAGGATCATGGAGCCGAAAAGACTCGTGGTTGTGTAGCCGAGGGAGAGGCATGAGTGAGTGCTCGGCCCTGGTAGATATAAAGTTTAACTTCACCTCCCTGCGTCACCGTCACGAAGAAGGCGGCGCCATCTTGAAGCTAAGACGCTCCGAGAACTTCTTCCGATGGGCGTTGAGTCGAGTTGAGGCGATGTTTTCCAGTCCTCGGGCATACGGAGCGGAAGCCATTCGCCCATGAGAGCGAACTGTACGGTATGCTTCAGACGGCGGCGTCCAGACAGCCCCGACGGGAGAGGACGGAGAACACAGCTACGTGGTGCAAGCAAAACACTTGGACGGGCTTCTAGGTTGTTCCAGGCTTGCCAGGCTTTCCAGAATCTCACGTCCAACAATCCGGACTCGGTCCAAGGCTGCGAACCGATGCTCTCCCGCGTGCGTGTACGGGATCGATGCAACGGTGGCAGAAGAGAAGCGTGCCATAGGTGGCCCGTCGCGTGGTTGACAGGCAGGCCCCATAGTGGGTAGTCGTACAGTACCCGCTGCCAATTATTGTTCTGCTCGTGCCAGCCGGCCAGTTGTAGTACCTGGCTCTCATACTACGTATGTCTCCACCGACGACCGCCGTCACATTTTTCAGCCAGCGATCTGCAACGCTTGATTCTAGCGGCGGCTCGTCTTTCCCTCACGGCATCTCGCATGTCTCTTGATATGTAGTATTTCGTACGTACGGTCTTGTTACTCAGGACCGTCATTGAATCCTTGAGGTGCAGCCGAGGATCCAATACAGAGGAAACAATGCATCGCATCAATCCCATTTTGGGAGAGGACTTGGACGCCAACCAGACCCTGCTGCTTATCATCTCACTCCCGGTTGACAACTAGTAATAGTTGTCCGTAGTTGTACCACTAGGTAGGGTAGCTGTAGAACGAATTGGGTATTATTAGTAGTACGTAGTACTTCTACGGGACTTCTACGTCGTACTTTAATCAGGGCTCATGGGCCTCTGACCGAGTCGTCCAAGCGATTGTTGGTAGCGTGGATCGCTAATACGTAAATACGGTGTAGGATTGCACTAGGCGCCCTTCCAGACAGTCAGGTAATATATTCTAAACAGCATTTATTCTTCGCAACAACGAGCCTTCGTAGGGCCATGAACCTTTACTGATCATCAAACGGGCGAACAGACAATCCCCGTCGGCGAAGTCTAGCTAAATTATACGCTGGAAAAACGAGATTGCCCTCCCTCTCTCTCTCTCTCTGACACTTTTAGAACTCTTCAAAGACCAAGCTTAGAGGCTCGAGAGGGGGGACTTTGGAGTGAGCTTCGTACAACTACAGATAGCTATATATAGAGAGAGAGGGAGAGAGAGAGAGATAAATATATATATACATATATATGCATATGTATATATATATCTGCCGGGGGACCAAGCACCCATCAGGCGCATCAGAGCTCACTTTCCGTCACCCAGCCGAATCGTCCCATGTTCTTCGGCTCGCCTGTCAAGATTCAAGACTCTCAAACACCTACTCAAGGTGGCAGGCAGGGAAAGGCTGAAAACTGGATCATCAAGTGGACTTCTGGCTCGCCTCAAAAGGGACCTTTCTCCGAGGGCAGGCCTGCAATGAACAAGCATTAAACCCTGGGGGCTCTCCACTCCGGGTGCATGCCAACGGCCGTCGCAGGCATGGCATCGGAGATCCTGAATCGTTCCCTGCACCACCCTCGTTCGCTTTGTCCAAATGTAGGACCTTCACCGGTGTCCGGACGGTGCGGTAAAGCCCACTGCTGCTCCGGATCATCCCAACCTTCGAGGGCGGACGAGGAGGTCGTTCAAGGTTTGGGGCACCTGGCACCGTGAAGTCAGTGTCCGTCCCAGCTCTCGACCCACACCAATTTGTGACAACATTGTTACCTTATTCTCTACCGGGATCCCTATGGTGGATTTACATTGGATCTCCCATACAGTCCTGGGGAGATCTGATATATAGTATCAATCCCTCGCGCACCTCTCGAGCCCTGCATCTGTAGTTGCATTCACAGGCGCGCCGTATCCATCATCAACGGCTTCCGAAGATTACCTGGGGAGGAATCGAGCATCCGTAATATCCTAATCAGCAAAGACACGCACGAACGAACCGAACGAACGAACGAGCGAACGACACCCTTCCACTTTCTATACGTAGCATACACCATCAATCGACTTTTTCATTCAATTCCACCACCAGAGCAGACCTCTGATACCGTCGTCCATTCCACTATTCATTCTCCTCTTCTATTCTTTTTCCACGCTCGACGTTCCCGATTCCTCTGGGTCAATGAACCTCTCCAGTCTCGTTCACGCGGGTAGACATCAAGTAGAGCAACACTTTCACCCATATCCCTCTCGACCACACCACACGATGGCTTCGTCTCTGGTGTCCAACCCGTACACCGCTCAACCGCTCCTCCAGAATCCCGCCTACACATATGTCACCGCCCCTCAGCCGCCCCCGTCACCTCCCGTGGACGAGGTAGCGAAATGCTCCTTGCCCTCCATCTCGAGCCTCTTCAGCTTTGCCGATGGATCGAGCCCCCTCGAGCAACAGGCACCACAGCAGCAGAGCCCGCAACCAGGTGAGTAGTGTCGGTGGGAAGAACGTCGTGACAGCTCCGCTCACAGACCACAGCAGCGCAAGCATCTCAGAAGAGCGAGCACCGCCCGGAGTCGGCGCAGCCGCCGTACGGCCCATCGCCGGTCATGGCCTCGAGGGGCGCTCTCCCTCCCACGCCGCCGATGCACTCCGATGCGGGCTACGATGGGCGCCACTCCCCCTCTGCGGCCTCGAGTTCCAGCTACTCTGCGGCTTCTGCGCCCGGCTACTACTTTTCCCCTTCAGGAGCGTCGCCGATCAACAGCAACGTTGAGCCTTCCGCTCAGCGCCCACAGGCGCCGCCCCTTCAGCGACAAGCGTCGCTGCCTTCGGCGAACTTGTCCTATGCTCCAACCCCTTATAATAACAACACGACGCCATACGCCGTCTCCCCCCAGCAATCCATGGGCGCCTACTACCCCAACCCCATGCAGCCCGCGGCTCCGGCCCCATCTCACATGTCTGGATTATACTACCAGCGTCCCCTCCCTCAGGTACGGCTTCTCCCCCGCCGTCTCGTCTCTGGCCGCCTCGCTAACGTCCCCCGCAGCAGTTCCCCCCGCCGTTGATGCCCGTCGCCGTCACCCTCACCCCGTCGTCGGGCGCGAACCCGTGGCAGCACCACCACTACATCTCGCCCTCGTCGGCGGCCTCCTTCCCCCAGAGCCAAGACCGCTACATCTGCCAGACGTGCAACAAGGCCTTCTCCCGGCCGTCCAGCCTGCGCATCCACTCGCACTCGCACACGGGCGAGAAGCCGTTCAAGTGCCCGCACCACGGCTGCGGCAAGGCGTTCAGCGTCCGGAGCAACATGAAGCGGCACGAGCGGGGATGTCACAGCTTCGAAGGCGGCGCCATGATGTGATTTCGACCGGTCTCTGATTCTCAGACGGATCGGTCGATTCAGAAGCATCCCTCCTTCTCTTCTTCCTCTTCCTCCTCCTCCTCCTCCTCCCCCTCCTCCCCGGCTTCAAGACACACAACGATGTTACGAGAGCGAGCGTCCACCAAAGACATAATTCCCATGCCGTAATGTATAAAGTACCACCTATTCACTTCATCTTTCCTGGTTGTTATTTTCTTGCTGTTAGAGTGGCCGCTCGTCATGGATACCCACTCCTCGTCGTTGTCGTTCCTGTTGCTGTTGCTGTTATCTGGGCGGTGGTGAGTGGTGGTGGTAGTGTTTGCCACCATCACGAAACCGGGGGGGCCCGGGGGGCCG